CCTTCTGGATTAGAATCTTCACAATGAGAGATGATCTGAACAACTACCCAGCTATCCCTATGGGGTTTCTCAGGTGACTTTGTTACCAAAGGCATTTTGCTTTTATAAAAAATGAGTAAAAGTTAGGATGCTGGAATTTGGGGATATCTTGGATCAGGCACTTTGTGTCAAAAATGGTTAAAAATGAGTTGATGAGACTACTCATGTGTAAAATATAGTACAGAATGTATGCTTGGGTATTAACGTCACCACACAATGCAGGATGAAGGCTACTAAGGATATGCTGGAAAGGTTTAAAAATTGCCAGTGAAACCCCTCAAAAACTATGTGGCAGGACTCTCAGGATGTCTGCATATCAGATTGGTTTGCTGTGGGTCACTTAGTGCTCCAATGGCTGCCCTTGCCCATCATCTTCTTTGTACATCTCCAGACATGAGCCAATATAGCCTGGGGAGCCACAAGTGGCTGCAACACCTTGCAGTACCTCTTCCCTTTAAGACTTACTTGGTCCCTGTGGTGCATAGTTAACAGTCTACTGTAACTATGACCAACATGCCAGGTAACAAGAGTGCTATTCAGCTCTTGCAGAAGTAGCCATGTTCTTAATTTAATTTGAATTAAAGTCAGTGTTGGGTCTCATTGTGGTGCCTCCTCCAATTTGACCAAAGCTGTTCCACACATCATCACGCCACAAAGACGTGCAGATGAGGATGTTAATCTAATGCCAATTGAATGAAAAAGATGGGGATACTAGCAGAAAAAAATATGAAAGAAATAAGGAAATGTTCATATTTGCACTGTAGCACCTCTGCTTCCATCCTCAAACAACACATGGGAAACTATCACTGCAACAAAACAGTTACTCTTCTTGAGCTTCCTTCTAAATTGGTTTTCGATGCTAGGGCAAAGTGGGAATGAGGGCACTCTTCCACTGTCCCCCCCTCCAGCAGGGAAAATTCAACCCACTCAAAGTCTCAGCTACTGGGGCAGGAAGGACATGCTTGAGTCCTCTGTCCCTGGAATTTTGATCAGTGTTCTTACATTCTTTACACCATGTGTGCCTACAATGGTCAGCATTCATTCCTGAGCCTGGCATAAAAGCAGTATCTAATTTTCCTCAAGAGCCTGGCATTCAGAGACGTACCACTCCTGAACATGGAACCTCCATTTTCCTAAATGAGGCTGCCTATCTCAAGAGGGCTACATATGACTCCTTTCTTACATGAAGCAGGTGGTCACCAGAGAGGGCTGTCACTTGGATTTGTAATGCATTCCTCTGGGATGTTTGTTGTTGTTAGTTGCGAAGTCTGAAGTCATGTCCAACCCATCGCGACCCCATGAACAACATTCCTCCAGGCTCTCCTGTCTTCCACCATCCCCCGGAGTCCACTTAAGCTCATACCAACTGCTTCAGTGACTCCACCTAATCCTCTGCCATCCCCCTCTTCTTTTGCCGCCAATTGTTCCCAGCATTAGGCTCTTCTCCAGGGAGTCCTTCCTTCTCATTAGGTGGCCAAAGTATTTGAGTTTCATCTTCAGGATCTGGCCTTCTAAAGAGTAGTCAGGGTTGATCTCCTCTAGGACTGACCAGTTTGATCGCCTTGCTGTCCAAGGAACTCGCAGGAGTCTCCTCCAGCACCACAGTCCAAAGGCCTCAATTCTTTGGCACTCAGCCTTCCTTATGGTCCAGCTTTCATAGCCATACATTGCAACTGGGAAAACCATAGCCTTGACTATACACACTTTTGTTGGCAGGGTGATGTTTCTACTTTTTAGTATGCTGTCTAGATTTGCCATCACTTTTCTCCCCAGGAGCGTCTTTTAATTTCTTGGCTGCAGTTCTCATCTGCGCCCCAATCTTGGAGCCCAGGAAAATAAAATCTGTCACTTCCTCCATTTCTTCCCCATCTATTTGCCAGGAAGTGAGAGGACCCGATGCCATGATCTTTTCTTAAATGTTAAGTTTCAAACTGACTTTTGTGCTCTCCTCCTTCACCCACATCAAGAGGCTCTTCAGTTCCTCTTTACTTTCTGCCACTAGAGTGGTATCATCTACATATTGAGGTTGTTGGTAATTCTCCCAGCAATCTTAATTTCAACTTGTGATTCGTCTAGCCTGGCCTTTCTCATGATGTGCTCTGCATATAAGTTAAATAGGCAGGGCGACAGTATACAGCCTTGCCAAACTCCTTTCTCAATTTTGAACCAATTAGTGGTTCCATGTCCAGTTCTCACTGTTGCTTCTTGACCCACACACAAGTTTCTCAAGAGTCAAATAAGATGGTCTGGTGATCCACACAAAGGCTTTAGCATAGCCAATGAAGCAGAAGTAGATGTTTTTCTGGAACTCCCTAGCTTTCTCCTCGATCCAGCGTATGTTGGCTATTTGATCCCTAGTTCCTCTGCCTCTTCAAAACCTGCCTGTACCTCTGGTAGTTCTTGGTCCACATACTGCTGGAGCCTAGCTTGTAGGATTTTGAGCTTAACTTTGCTAGCATGTGAAATGAGTGCAATGGTGCGGTAGTTTGAACATTCTTTGGCATTGCCCTTGTTTGCCTCCTGTTAAATCTAATGGCCTTCAGGTGTTGGTCTTTTTATTTGCTTCCAGGTTTTTATTTATTTTGGTTGAGTGGGGAGGGTCTTCTTGATCCCTCTTGCTTTAGCAAGTGTCTTGGTTCTGGTGAAAAAGTTTTTGTGTACTGTGAACCTGGAATTTTCTTAAACTGAAGTGCAGCCAAGTTGCTTTAAATGCTTAAACAAATGATCAAAACAATTCACATATATGTTTACTCAGAGGTAAATAGTGCTTACTTCTGGTAAATGGACATATAATGAATAATAGTCACTTATACCTTAGGGCAAGATCTCTCACAGGCCAGATTCCAGGCTAAAACACAATCCTTCTTCCAGCCTGCTGTAGCTCTCAGTACTGCTACCTAAGCCTTAGGCAAGTCCTTTTAACCTTTTAGAACAAGACTGATAGTGTGGGAACCTGCAAATCCCACAAAACTCCCAAGTGATCATCAAAGGAAAAGGGTTATAGACATCTGGAAAAGCCTGGAGGGCTAGATTCAAGACCACAGGCAAGCCAGACCTGGCACACAGACCTAATGTTCTATACCACCACCTCATCTTTTTCTAATCTTTTAAAAAATCACCTGACATCATTACCAATACTTGTGGTGGTAATGAGAACACCAGGTTAAATATGGGCTACAATTCCAGTACCCTTTGCCAGTGTGCATCACTGTCTTACCCACGTACACCATGTCTGAAGCAACTGTCAAAAAATCTGTAGTGATTACACACCAACCTTCATGAGGAACATGGTCTTCTTCCAAGTATAACCATGCAGTTTACTTTTATTTGCAAGAAAGTGGCATCTTTGCAGAAGAATTTTAATGCAAAATTCACATTTGTAAAGTTTGCCAGAGAGAGTAAACACTTCTATTGTTTGGCATTGCATTGTTCTAATTTTCTTCAGGACAAAGCAAATGAGAACGAGGAATGGCACAACCACAGTTGAAAAAACCCACCTGGACATGCCATTAGGCTGGTGGGGTTTGCATCATACATTCCTTAGATGCAGGAGGTTTCCAAATGGGCAGGTCTACACAAAAACAATGAAGAACATTAGATATGTAGGCCTTGGGTTATTCTGAGGAAAACGTAAATTTACTATGCAGTGGAACTACTATTCGAGTTTATCCTGCTACAAAAAGGGACAACAGAAAAGAAATGCCAAGAGAATGTCCACCAAAACACACATGGCTATATTTGACAAATGAATTTAAAACAAAACCATGTGGCAAAATCTGAAAATCACATTGTGATATAATCCGCCAGTGCTGAAGAAAAGCCAGAATTGTTGTAAAAAGGGCATTTATGTGAAGATGCAGCAGCACAGCTCTCAACATAGCTATTTTACTTTTCAAGCCTCAACCTTATGGGTGTGGAAAGATAGAACTGAAGCTTGTGTGCCATTATGCCTGGCCATGGTTCAGACCTTATTCCAACCCAGTTCCACCAGTAAGGGAACCAGTGATTTATCGGCTCTGCATGGCCAAACCTAGAAACAGTAGATGAGTCACTCCTTGGGCTTTTAAATCTCAAAATAAAGCAATTAAAGAATTATGCCAGAAACTTTGGAGAAAATTATCATCCAGCAGTTCTTCGAATTAATGACAACTAATGTGCAAACATCATGCTCAGACTAATTAGTGATACTTTAGGTTCCCCGGATTTTAAAGTTCTTTCTTTCAGAAATAAATTACTCTGAAACTACCTGAAGTAGACTCAAAGTAGCAACTCTCGTTCAAGTCTCCTTAGAAATACTTAGGGCACAAAGAGAGGGGAATTGTGAGTTACTAGGTTCCATGTGTACAAGAAAGATTGTTAAATGAATTACAGCTACATATTTTGCATGTAGTTCTCAATAAAATGAAAGTGATTTTAAAAGGACTGTTAGATATTGTGCAGAGAAAGCACACAAGGTATACAAGGTTTAGTGGCATGTATGGACGGAAAATCTTTTGTTGCATCCCCAATTCTAGTACACTACAGCTGGGGATGGGGGGAATCTCTGCTTTCTCACATAGTAGCTCTTCTATCATGCTGTGAAGCTGGGGTTAAGTCTGTGGTATCTCAGTGTTTCACTGGTCAAGTTTGACAAGGTCATCTATGCAGGAACAGAAATAAATATTCCTGATTTTACAAAGCCACCATGGTTGGCTTTTATTTTGCCCTTTTGTCCCCTTCTAAATAATGTTATCAGATATCAAAAGAAAATGGTAACTGCAAACATTGGAAGAATGTGTGTGAATGCAGCTTTCAAGAGTTTTGAGGTGATGGAAAAAGGGGGAGAAGCAGGAGTTCAGAAGGTGAATGGATGGATGAATGGAGGAATGAATGGATGGATGTCCTTTCCCTTCTTCCTCAGCTGCCCCACTTCTCTCCACACAATATTCTTGGACAGATACAATGTAGATTTAAGAAGATTCTACAGTAAATGACTTTTATTTTTTAAAAAATGAAATAACCGTGAACATATTAACAGGCCTGCAGGTGGCACTACAGTACAGCTGAATAGAAGGTAGATATAGCCCCAATGAACAGTCAAACAATGGAATCCATCAGTTCAATGGTGACAACTCTGAATACAACTCTTATCAAGCAGGAACATTTTACTGAAAATATTTCTGGACAAAGCTGATATTGAAAATTAGTTCTGGGAAGTAGTAGTCCCAATCTAAAACTGAAAACTGGTGAACCATTGCTTCGTTTACCAGTTTAGGGAGAGATGTACAACATCTCCAAAACATAAAAGTTCTTTCCCCCCCGTTACTTCTATCTTTCTGGGAACTGGTGTTGGAAGTCAATTTCTTTTAGCTCTCCTCTGGGCCAATTGTGCTATTCTGGATTTATTTGTAAGAATAACTTCTTGAAAGGTATTATTGAAAGGAAGACTAAATGTGATGTGCCTTTCCTTGTAATCCAGGAACAGTTGTGGTATTTCAAATTCTAAAAATATCTACTTTCATGAAATACTGTTTCACTACAAACCTAGTTTTTCACTAAATACACAATTTTTAATCCTGGAGCCATCTGAGAAAAACAGTGGTTTCTCTGTGTTTCTGCATTTCTACAGTGTATAGAGAACTGTTAAAAGGGAGCATGAAGAACAAGATCTTTTTTCCTTGGCCTGTGGCAGACTCTTGAGGACTCATGTCCATGTTCCTGTAGCTGGCTCCTGGTGGTGGTCACACTCATTCAGCGCTAGCTACTCAAGTCTGCAATAGAATGTCCATCTTCACATCATTCTTCCTAACTTCTTGGAAAGACTAACTAGGCATGAAAAAGGTTCACACTTTCTATTCATAATATGCAGGAACACCACATGGTTTCCATACAATTTCAATTAGCAAAAGGCCACAGGAAAATGACACAGCACCTCTCATTAATTAGGAATTCTGTATGTTATAGTGACCTTCGTTCAGATGTTCAGTGTTGAGGCAGCATAGAAGACAGTAGCTGGAGAGTGTAATGAATGCCGTGGCATCTCTTATCGAGAGACCTCTGCCTCCTACAAAGGCAGGCATGTGCACTCTCCTTCTATACCGTGAGCAAAAAAATGACTCCAGAGGGGGGTGTGGAATCACCAATTCCTAGGACCTAGCCAGTTTGGATTCATGAGCTTTCAGTGTGCCAACGGCATCTTTGACTGCATGGTAGATAATATTCTTCACCTGTAAACAAAAGAAAATGAATAATTAAATTCTGAACAATGGTCTCCATCTGCTATACTGTTACATGTTAGAGTTTCTTAAATATTAAGTCATGGTACTTGAGGTTAGACACATACAGAGAAGAATATGGGAAGGTGTCCAAGCCACTGATACTTTTTAAAGTTTATATACTGATGACTCTTTTTTCTTATAAAAGTATATAATACTTTTGTAGTTTGTATGTGCATACTGATCTATGCTATGCTCAAACTTGTCAGGTGAACAATCCAATTTTGTAAAATCTATAAGTACTCTAAATATCTGACATTACAGCAATCTTTATAATATGATAACTGGTTTTGCTTTAACTAAAGTTTATTAACTACAGGTTAAGCCTTAAATACAATCGGCTTGGATCTTGCCAGCAGAAACAAGCTTCTGTTTGCACAGAACAACTTCCTTGAATCCTGGAAATTTTGTTGTATCCCTTACCACACCTTTCCAGAGGGTGCTTAAGAGCTTTTTGGAGGCACAAGAGAGAGGAGACAAGAAAGTCCTGTTATGCCCATGGAGTTACCATTACCATGTTTCTTTGTGTCAAACCCACTAGTAAACTATTCTACAAGAAGTTAGAAAGAAAGGTTGTAAGAATGCCTAAGAATTTATTTAGCTAACACGACCCCTTTTAATAAAAATTCAACCATAAGTGTTTTTAAAAATACAGTGTTTCCTTTTTCCCTAATCCGATAATGCCTTCACTATTATCCCACAAAACTAATAAAGGCTTACCTGCAGCTTATCCTCATGGTTTGTGTGAGTGTTGGACAAGTGCCTGAACTCCTGGGTCAGTCGGAAGCAGTGTTTAACATGTTCTGGAGATACAAAATCTTCTGCTACTTTAATGCAGCTATACAAATTATGAACCTGTAACAATAAGCAGAAGAACTGGGTGGTAAGTGAGCTACAAAACTGAACAACTCAAAATAATATTTGTTGCTTTTTAAAGTATACATAAGATGTGTAAATGCTACTACAAAGTGTGGCCAAAATTTGACATACAGATATCAGGTACTCCAAGGACATTTCCCAAAGGGTGCTTGGAAACAGATGATACCCAATCCTCCTAACTGGAAGACATTGTGCAGCTATTCAGTCCTTTTCTCCATAACTGGTTTTCCATGGGTAAGAAAATAGATTACATATGCAGTCAGAAAACGCAGGGATATGAATAGAAGATGTCATCTGAACTCCACCATGAAATTCCCTTAATGAGACCAAGCTATGGTGGGATAAAATAATTTCCGCTGTGAGTCCTGAGCCCCACACCCTCTGGAGGCATGCAGAGGGTCAGGGAGAAGAATTCTTGCTTTATCACTATGCCAGATGCGAAGGAGACTGCTTCGCTCCATGCAGGCTTTCCCAGCATGGGGAAAGAATGGGCAAAGTAAAGCTGGACCAACTCTGAGAGGACCAGAAAGAACTGAGGCAGCCCATTGCATAGCAAAGTCAACTCAGTATCCTAAGTGCTGGCTGATGGATCTCCAGTCAGTGCTCAGCCTATAGGCTAAATGATGCCAGGGGCCCACCTACTGATGCTTTTCAGTCAATGGAGGGATACCTTTCCAGTCCAAAGAAGCTTCCCACACCAATTTAAAGGAAGGCCAAAATGAGCATCACAATGAAGATCCAGAAAAACTAGGCAATAAGTTAGGTGGAGAAAAAAGTTTCACCAAGAGCACAAAGATAATCCAAACTGCATTAGATCTGGTAAGATAATTTGAGGGTGGGAAGAACAAGAATGTCAAAGCCTAATCGTGCTGAATGTAAGAGAAAATGAAGGCACAAACTGAAGGATTACAAAGAAAGAAAATGTGCTAAATCATTCAAGAAATTCTGAAAGAGCATGAAAATCCAATTTTCCCTAAAAATTACATGGTTAAGTAAAATGTATAGTAAGACTCTTAATAATACCTACTAAAGTCATCCATACGGCTGTAACTTAAGTTCTGTCAGGGGTAACACACAATTCACCAATAATTATACACTAACAATAAATAAATATACATATCAGCATGGAGACAGCTCTCTCAATCCTTATGTTAGCTTTTGAAATTTTGCTGAGCACTTTCCATATGACTTTGTGTTTTAACTCTCTTTTTCAATATTGTACATAAAATCCTAGATAACTATTATTTATTCTGGAAAAAAAACAAGCAGTCGCAGTCTACAGGGCTGCTCTTTTGGATATGTTATGTTACTAATCTGTTTCCTACAATGCCCATACATTTTTACACTACCCCTTGAGGCCCAGCCTCTCCACACTCACCTGGTGCGGGGCTCCTGCAGGAATAAATACAGCATCTCCCAGGAACTGCACTATTGCCCAGCCTTGCACTCCATACTCCTCATACAGACGTTTACGTAGGGTCTGGTCCAAGTACCAGCTTTGGTCATGGATAGGGTCATGATCCGGAGGATTTTCTTGCCCTTGTTCTTCACCAACCTAATGTGAAGTTATAAGAGTTTAGATCTATCTACCTCTAGTAGATTTCTTCTCAATCTGTGTTCAGCGAACAAGCCCCATCTCAAGTTATTTCAGTATGAGAGTTTTACCTTTGCTAAAGTAGGTTTTGTGGTGACAGCAGATTAGGAGAGAAAAAGACAACCCTCACAGCTAGCATTACTAAATATGATACACTGGTGAACGCCACTGCCCAAATATTTATTCTTTTTAATTTAGGTTATTTATATCCCCATAGCAGCACAGTGACCAGGCCAATCTAATTTAAATAATGGGATGTGCAAGTCATAAGAAAATCAGACGTGGAGAATACAATGAAAAGTCCTAACAAGTTTTCATTGCTGAAACATCCCATCATCATACCTTCCGAAGAAGCTCCCTGATCTTCTCAGCATCCTTAGCAGCATAAATATGCCACAGCGCCCCTGGCTTTTCCTTGGCTTCATGGATTCGCTGTTTTGTGACATCATCAGCATCTCCCTCATCAATAGTTTTCAGCACCTCTGAAATTTACAGGAATATATTGCATACTTTTTAGCATAAGGTACAAGAAACAACAAACAGTGGTCTATGTAACCACATCATCTTGAGTAATATTCTGGAAAAAGCAATAACTGGATGCATTCCCTTGTTGACAACACAGCATGTATTACGGATGGTACAAATGTACAAGGTGACTTGTTTATGCCTAAGGTCAAAGCGTATGTCTGCACCACCTGTCTCTCACAAGCATATATCCCAGGAAACAATTCAGAAAACTGGTGCAGTTTGCACTTGGCACAACTGCACTTAGGACTCTATATCCAAGATTTGATCTGGGACAGAGCTGCAAAGGAGTTCTTTGCTTTTCATAATGTTCCTCACGATGCCTGTACAGGTTTCATAAGGGACATTGTGTCAAGACAAGCTGATACACCTACCCATGAGTAAATTCACTTGTGACTAGGCATTCCAGCTTGCAGCTTGAACTGGCTCATTTGTCCCTCTCAATGCTCCTCTGATGGTTTTTGTTCATGTGTACTACAAGTGGAAAGAGCAACACAGGAACAAAGAACAAATCAAAACGAAATGAAATGGTGCAGGCCTAAGCTAAGTGATCCCGAACATGGTTACCGGGGATGCAAGTTCTCCCCAGAAGTATAATCTTAGTAAAAAGCTCACCATCATCATGCGCACCTTCCCCAATGGGGATTCCAACGTATACCATAACGTTAACAGCATCTGACACATCCAGGTGTAGATTGGTTGTACCAACTCTTCTGTCTTCTGCAGTTATCAGCCCTACAAAAGAGCAGTAAAGAGGCAATCACATCAAACCTGACCCCACTGATATGTGCTTTCAAAGGTCTATCATCGTGTCTGGCATGCTCACCCTTTAAAAATAATGCCAAAAAGAAAAAAAAAAAACAGGAACAAAACCATGAAAAACACATTCTTTTAAGCGCAAACTGCAAGAAAAACTGACTCAGGGGAAAATCAAATTAAGCAGAATATTCAGATAAAATGCTCTGCTCTAGATATTATTCTTACAAGTCAAAGAAAGGAAATTTTTATCTTTTCTACAGTTTTTCAAACCTGATTTGCTTGACCTATATGTTCTTAACTTTAAAAAAGAGCAAGACATAGAGAAATAGTTCCACATTTCTTCAAAACTACTTCATAATAAATATCTCTTTCTGCTTCAAATCAGCAAAAGCAGCTTATTGCATCTTTATATCACATTCAGTACCAAATCTAAAGCAGAAGACATGTTTTGTACACACATGCATGGAGAAAAGTAGGTAGACTGAAAATTATTGGTCTGTCACATATTTTAACTGAAGACTGACTGAGTCCAGGGTCAATCCAGACCCATGTGTGTTTTCTAAATATGAACATGAAATCTTAGAAGGCTCAGTTCTAACAGGTACCCTAAAAATTACTAGGAACAATAAATCTTGCCCCAAGCAGCCAGCTCCTTGGGTGCATTGAAATACGTCAACAGCTTTTAGTGAATTTTTGCATTGCGAAGGAAGTGCATGCTTTTAAGTATTACTGTTTTCCAATAAATATAATTTCCAAGAAGAAGTTAGTGCATAGACTAGATATTTCTTTTTCTTGGTGAAGTACTTCAGTTCAAATATTTTGACTACTGTAGAAACATTTATACACAAGTAAAATTAATAGAGTGGACTTGTAAAGCTTTGTTATCTAAACAGTAAGTCTAATAAGCTAAACAGGAGCTCAGTTGCTTTAGTATGGGGCAGGCAACTTGGCAGTTTCCAGATGTTTGGGCCTACAACTGCCATCAGCTGCAGGTAATATAGCTAATAGTTAAAATTATGAGAAATGTAGGCCAAAGCACCATGAGAACAACAAGTTGTCTTCCTTTACTGTAGGGAACCAAAATGAGTGCCACCTCAACTCAAAGTGTGGAGAACATGGTGAAGAATATCTAGGGGGTGATAATCCCAAGGGTATGTTGGTCCTAGACCACAAAAGCCTTTAAAGATTCATCACTGGTCACCTTGGGTTCCAAAGCACATTCAACTTGTTCTACTCCTTATAGCCCATCTTTGTCAAGAAGCATGGGGTAACATTCTGGAGGAAAAGTATATACCCAACTCAATAATCCTTCAAACATAGGCTAGCCCACCATAACTTCTGTCTAGATTAAGTATCAAACCGTTAGCTTTCATTCTGCCCAATCCACCTGACATTCTTGCAGGAATTGAACAGGGTGTCACTGACATACAATATCAAACTGACGAACAATCCTCACAATAGCAGTTAATAGATCTTAATAAGAACTAGGTACAAGATGGGATCTTACAATATCCCAGAATCTAGACAGTAGTACAGCCCCATCAAGTGCTTCTTTCTGGCATCCATTAAGAACCAATGCTTCATGGTCCTGTCCTTCTCAAGTGGTTCAAAATGATCTGATGGTTAGTTGGATCAAAATCTGCTGAGACCCAAAAGAATAAGCAATTATATTCCCACTGTCCTCTCTAGATCAAGACTATTGACCAGGGCAACCAATACAGGCAAGGCCTGCTGTGAGCCAAGAGTTCAGAAAATTCATCAGTAATTCCTGGACTAGCTCAAACACTGCTCACTCAATCATCTTGTCCAAAAAGACTAAACTGAAATGGAGCCATACTATTCCAAATGGTCAGATCCATAGAGGACTTCTTGTTAGACTAATATAGGTAATAATCCACTTCAGCACATCACCTCTCACACTAAACACATTCTTGCTAAGAGAAACAATAAGAAAGAACAAAATCATGCTACTGAGCCTACATACCATAAGCATTGTACATTTTGGGACCCAGATCAGGTCGCACAAAGTAGCTTGGCAATCTTGATGCCAGATTCAGTCTTCCATCCCTCTTAGTGTACTCTGGGAGAGGAAGGTTTTCCATTAGATCCTCAAACCTGAAAAATGCATGTACCACATTAAGATACTAGATCTGAACAACAGTACAGTGCCAACACACTAACAATTCTTGTTAACTCACAAGCTCAGTACAACAAGGAAGCTTACCTTGTAGGCATCATGTCTCTAAAATCCTCTCCCGGAGGCCAGTCTTTTAACTTCAGTACCATAGGCTGTCCATCATCTGCTCTCAGACGCTCTGTAAAGTAGTTTCATTTGGCTTTATGTTGTTCTCTATCAACTCTCCTAAATCTATAGGAATCTCTTTCTTGTTGGGGAGGATAGATGAGAAAATGAAGTCTAAAATGCTAGTAATGCATTGCAAACTAGGTAGATCTGAGTTTAAATTGCCTGCTCAAGTGTAATTTATTAGATTTATATCCCCCCTTTAAAAAAAAAAACTTGAAGTGGCTTACATCATTTTCCTCCTGCTCTCAATTTTACCTCCACAACAACTCTGTGAGGTAGGTGGCGCTGAGAGTCTGATTGATCCACAATCACCCAGTTAGCTCCATAGCTGAGCTGTTACCAGAAGCCAGATTACCCAAGTCCTAGAATCATATTTTTAACCACTATACTGCACTGCCTCTCAAATTTAAAGAACTCATATGTTCAGAGGATGATCTTAGAGCATGCTAAACTATTTCACAGGACTTCAGGTAGGGGAGATCGATCTCTCTCTACCCCCTCCCCTCCTTTGTACAATGCACAAAAAGGAGAAAGATAGATATGAAGAATGGTTTGCACTGAATTTGTGTTTGTTTTTTTTAACAGGAATATATCCTTGTGGTTCAGTTTCATTTAGAATAATTACCAGTGTTAAAGGGTCTCCCACCCCTGCAGAGGGGAAAAGTCACTGTAGTCTAAATCTCAGCAGACAGTGCTCTGAGCATGATAAGAGGACCTATTCAAAATCTCCCTACTTCAGGTCACTATCCCCCCCCACCCAGCTGAAATCCAGTGTGTGTCCTGCTACATGCGTTGAACCAATAAAATGCTGGGACATGAAATTCTGACCAGCTCCAGACAGTGCACCCATGACCTGTTGGTCAAGGCTGCAGACATCAAGTCTGGTGTGAGTCCTCTGTCAGGCTGGCAGAAATAGTCCTGCTGTGTTTCAGGCCAGGTGGAAGCAGAATCTAGTCCCCAGCAGGCAGTCTTGCAGGCAGGTCTCTTAGCAGGACTGGCGCTTCTCTCAGTAGTACCTCAATCCACCCAGACCTAATGGCAGCCAGGAGAGAAAGGCTGACAAGACGACAAGGGGGTTGGTGGAAAGGCTGGCAAGGTAGTAAAGCCACGTAGAAGAGAGGGCTGGCAAGGTATTAAGCCAGCATTCCCACTCCTGCTGAGAGAGAGGGCATATCCCCCATTCTTCTCTTGTCCTTTATGTGTAGCCTTTACAATGCCAATTTCCTTCTATGTTTCAGCTGTCCAATGAGTGAGAGAGGTAGGTGACCAGAACTGACTCATGAAGATAATAATTAAAAAGTAGACTCGTGAAGATAATAATTAAAAATACAATTCTATTTGCACAACCCTGAAGCACCAAAAATAATCTTAAAAGGTGGTGAATGAAAAGAGACTGCACTGGGGAGGGTATCAGGATGACAAGACTGGTTCTGCCTGAAAGACATCTGGGATACATCCTGGACCCAACAAGAGGAATAAGGTGAAAAGCGAAGGAGAACAATATGCAGGATGGCTTAGTGTGACATGTGAACCCACCCTAGGGCAGGATAGTCAGAAAAGTGGAATTTGGGTTCCCCAAAACAATGAGTCCTAACATTACCATGAATTTCTTCAACTTAGTGGCCTAGTTCACTAGGGGTTTAATTTCTGAAACCCTGAATTGTTGTGGTCTCAGCAGAGGTTTTGTGCATGCTGTCCAATTACTCCCTCTGCAGGCAGGGGTAAGCAACCAAGGAGTTATCTGCCATGAATTGAACCAGAAACTGAGCTAAACCATGGACAGAGGAGGAAAGAATTAACATGAAGAAGCAGGTTAGAAGCTATAAAGAGCTACTCCTCATTGCTTTTAGCAAGGCAGCCAACTATACTGGTCTATTAACATTACAATGAGTAATGTTCTTCAATGCAATTAAAGTATGGCTTCTTAAACAGTAACACTGATAACAATCAGTATCATATTACTCACAATCAGTATTAAGAGAATTCACAGAAGGGAAGAAAGGATCTGATATACCACTATAAGATTGTACTTACTAGAAATGACTTCGAAGCCATCCCAGAAGTCACGAACTTTGACATCTGAGATTATGGCACAGTTTCTACAATTGACCAGATCTACATCTTGATCTCCAAATTCCAGGCTAAATGCCTCTGGTTTCCAGAGTTCAGGCTTCAATTTCTTATGAACCCCAGAAACTAAAACAGGCTGTGGAAACATGAATATGAGATTATTTCTCTATGATAATTCTCAGAAGACATTATCAGATGAATTCAGGTCCCAAGTCATCTAAATTGAGTAAGACCAAAAAAAAATGAAAACATAAAAGGGCTGGTCTGTTAAGATTAGATTTGGTTAGCAGAACTGCAGCTTATTTCTCTTCATAGTCTCAAGTATAAGAGTTTAATTTATCCAGACAATTATGTGTGTAACGGCTTGTAGCATGCTTTCTTTTCCTTCAGAACATTGTAATAGTGTGGTAGAATATACCCTCCACTATGCAACAAGCTCTTAACTTCAGCAGCTGCACACTTATACTAATTAAACATGCATATATGTATTTATTTTATATAATTTATTCTCCTAATAACAGAGAAAGTAAGGAGATTCCCATCTGCTGGCTTCCTGACTACAAGAAATCCTGCTTACCTTGTGTTGAATTCCCAAAGTTCACTAGGCACAGCCCATATGCCACCTAGTCCAATCTCCCACTGTTTAACTGAATTCTGGGATATGGAGTTCTGCTCCTGATATGAATTACTGTGCTTATATCACACAGAAACCAACATGCAGCCACCTGTGTTTTTGTTTTGCTTCATGTATTGAACTAAGTACAAACACTGCACCACAGCAGCTAGTTTGCTTCCAGGACAACATAAATATTATTACAGAAACAAGAGATGACTGGGCTGACTTTTTGATTTACCTGACCCTGCTTCCAACACTCCCTGAAGATCTTCCAGTTGTTTTTGTTGCTGGGGTCATGCAGACACAGCAGCCTTCCATCACAGAGCCAAGAATGGGAAGTGTGTGGATCCAGGACATTTAATCCCATTACCATTTCTTTCACTTCTTTATGTGTGTCAGGCAAATTGCTTGTTCGCTTGGTAGCATCAGACATCTTCTTATTTTCCACCACAGAAGCAATAATATGATCGAGGAAGTTGGGCAAACTGGCTTTGCTCTTGGCCCCCTAGAATATAGAAATCCACACAGCAACCTAAGTCTTGCCTTTACCAGAGACACTGATCTTTCAACTAAGTAGACACTTGCTAGAAAAATGAATGTGCAAAGGTAGCGAAAAAGAGGTGACAAGATTCAGGAAGCTTCCATTCTTAAACAACCCTGTACTACGGTAAGCAACAGACCGTATTCACAATGGTTACTACTTGATCCAAGTGTTTAGAAACAGATTCAGTGCTTATTAGGTATAATATGCTGCTCATGAAACTGGCATGTTAATCTTTAAAGATGAGTATTTAAATCCAGTATTGCCTTTCTATTCATGGAATAGACATGCCTTTCTATTCATTGTAGGGACTGAGAGAAAGCAAAGGTTCCCATCTGAAGGAAGCCAGGGGCACTGTGGATGTTTTTCTAATTTCTTTTCTCTCAGCAGTTTTCGCTGATATTTCCCATATATCGGGTAGCCTGGCTTTAACATAACGCCTTTCTTTCATGGTACTAAAGTACATTTTGATTTATTGCTGCTCTTTTCCTCTTATGCCTGATATTTCTTTCTTTTATGGCATTTTTCTCTGCCCCTGTTTTATACTGACAGATATCCATATCCTGTAGTTTATTACCAGAAATTAATCTGATAGCCAGAGGAAAGCAGCTGCTTATTTGGGGGAGGGGGAAACATGTCAATAATGCCAATTAACTTCAATGAGATTAAAACCAATTAAATCAAAATACTGACAGCCACCTCAAATAAAAATGACTCTTTTTATTAGATGTACATATGTTTGGGTTCAAAGAGGTCTGTAGCACAGGTGGGGAGAAAATTCACCCATGGGAAAATTAAGTTTGGGGTTGCTGTTGATACTGGACAGATACACTGCAGACAGCCACCTATTCTTGCTCGCCTGCTCGTTTGCTTGCGCTCTCTCTCTCTCTCTGCGCATGCCATATGTTTGGAACTCCTGCCTGCCTGGCAGGTACATCAATAAACCTCCACCTCTCCAGCACTGCACTCCAGATCATGGAGGTTATCTCTGCTCTTTCTGGACAGCTGAAACACCAACTGCCCAGTAGGCATACAAGCACAAAGGGTTTTGCGAAGCAACACCCAAGGCTTTCTCTCACTTAGCCTTCCTGAGGGAAAGAGCGGGTGGAGGGAAGCCTGTGCTTGATGGTCACCACATCCAACCAAAAAGGAACATATACTGCCATCAAGCAGGGGCACAAAACACTCCTACCAGTTGGCCCTATGCATATAGGGTAAGAGCATGCACTGGATGCTGTGGGCCATATGTTGCCCATTGGTTCTACAGTAGTGCTCTAAAGGACAGGGCAGAATGGTAAGGATGACATTCTTTCCATGTGTGAAAGAAAAGGTTTTGTAATTCTAAATTAAAGAAATAATCATCCATTAGTTTACATATGCCTGATACTTCAGGAACTATCTTCACTGCTTCTAAAGAAACAGGTTTTCTATTTCCTTCTCCTGCCTCAATGGTTTCTGACTACTGATAGGAAGAAAAAAGCTTCACTGTTTTATTTTTTTATTTACTGGGATTGAAGATCTTCAGGGCTACTCAAAACTGCCTGAGCAGGGCTCAAGATTTCTCTACCCTAACCCAATGGGCCTCCTGCTCTTGCTGCAGTCCCCAAAGGCAGAGCTCCCAATATTCAGGAGATCTTCCTCTTCAGTGAGATGTTTCAAGTGGTACAAGGAGCTTAAGGAAGGAAAAGATAACATGTGAACTGCCTTCTGCCTGTGTAATGTTGTATACAATAAGTGGGCCAGTTTGCAAAATCAAATTGGCCACCATGGTTTATTTAAGCCATGGTAGACTGCAGTGTGGGCAACCATTTTGAATATTCCATCTGTAACTGAGGTTTGTCATGCTGTCCTAACTAGACTGTAATACATGAACTTGTATAAGCATTGTCAACACGTGCAAATGAGAGAGGCGATAGGGAAGATATTCCTAACACTTTCAGAAACCAAATTACTTCCTGAAAAATGTACTACTTGTATGAAAATGAAAGCCATTTGCACCACCATTTTTTTTTCAAAAGGAGATATAGCCAATCATCTCATCATATCAAAGAAAGGAATATTACTTACAGTGGAAGCTCCAGAAAAAACAGGAGGAAAAGGGATCCCAGTATCAGGTGATGCCTGAGGCAATTTTCCAGGTCCAGAGTTAAGCAAATCACGAAGACTGGAACCTTCTGTCTTGTTGCTTGAGGCAACTGGGCCCAACAGAAGACTATTAAAAAGCTTTGGAGTTAAAGGAGAGGTCTTTGCACCAGAGTTGAAGGAATCCAACCCAAAAGGTGACTGTGATTCTTTACTGAGCACTGACCTTAGTGAACCTGCTTCTGTAAAACAAGAAGATAGGGACCACAGAAGGAAAGACGTATTTTTAAAAACTGGATGTAGTACTTTCGTAGTTATACAGGAGGGCTTTAAAGCAATAATTGTAACAAAACCATTCATAAGCTAAGCACCTATGAGAAAAGAATTATTGCTACAAGATACTTAAAAGTATAAACAAGCCAAATGACCAGTTCTAATTTAAGACAACAGTATGTCATGAAGAAGGATCATTAATATGTATCTTAGAACATTATTCAGTTGTAGATAAAATTCTTGCAGTCATAGAAAACATATGAAAATTCTTCACATCAGCTTGCAATGGAATGCCAGAATGTCAAAGGGATAGTCCTCCATCTGACCCTCAAAAGCTTAGCTATACAAGAGGTGGTTTAAATTGGTCTGGACACAAATCTTCCAGAATTCATAGGGTATTTCCAGCACCTACCCAGGAATGAGTTACACCCACATTTGATTACTGAATATATAATAAAGAGGAGGAGGAAGACTGGAGGGAGGAAGACTGCAACCCGAGCTATTTTCTTAAAACAAAACTCATTTCACACAAGCATTAAGCCACTTTAATGCATCTAAGGATATAATCCAATGCCCTGTGCACCCTTGCTGCACATAAGCCTCTGCACTTGGAGGCACATGTGCATCCTAGGCATGGAACATGGCATAGCTGCAGCAGGAGTCTCTACTACTGCTGCAACGTGCCGCATGTATCTTCATCTAGATGGCTGGTTCCAGCTCTCTAGTGCGAAGGAGAGATAAGATTGGGGCACTGACAGGAATCAGCGTAAGACCTTGACCCCACCTTGGCCCTCCCATCCCCCTGACATGCACCTTTTTGTACTCTCTGGTGAGGGGGGGCAGTCAGAACAGTTCACAATGTCAGCTGTGAGAAGAGTGGAGGGGGCAATGACCTTTGGGGGAGAAAAGGATATATTAACAGTTGTGAATTATGAATAAAAATGTAGAAAAAGGTAACTACACTTCCATTCACATTCAAGGTGCATATAAAGTCAAACTATTAACCCATGGCTTGTATGAGTGAGAGACCTTGGATGCATGCCTGTCACTTTGCATGTTGTTTCTCCAATTCAGGAATGCCCCTTTCCTGGGAGGTTTGATGGTATGGCTGTATCTGGATCTCTGGATTGTTGAAGGCAAACAACTCAGAATTTGAATCCATGTTTTGCTGTTGGATTAAAATGCTAGGTTGTTCATCCCTCAACAACGCAGAGTTCCAAGTTCAGATGATACATCAAACCTCTTAGGAAAGGAGCTATCATGAGTTGATTGAGAAATAGGGTGTGAAGTGGAAGTGGAAAGCAGACAGAAGGTTGCATGCTTGTTCTCATGTAGCCTCAACAAGCTCTAGTTTAGACATTGTATGTCTGAACGACATCTGTGCTTTTTTTAATTAATGCAAAATCTTTTATGCAAACTTATTCAGTTTATGATTAGACTGCTTTAAAAAGAAATAAAATAAGATGAGTGAAATGGTTCAGATTCAGCACCATTTATTCCCTCCAGAGCAAACTGGGCTGAGTTCTCCACGTGTGATGTAGCACTGCTGCCATGTTAAAGAGAAAACCCCAACTAAAACAAAATGTTTAAGACTACAGATGCTCTTTTAGACAACATCACTGCTTGTGACTATTCTGCTATTTCTCCATTTGCCATTTAGATGAGATCTGCAGATTCTCTATATGGATTACAAACACTGAGAATACTAAATCAATGTCCCTTGACATTCAGAAAGCAATCATCTCAAGGAGCCTTCATTCATTTTGCCTTCAACATCCTTATCCTTGAAAATGTCCCTTTTCTCTGTCTCTTTACCTCCGCAGCTCTCTAGTCAAGAAATCAGCAGCTCCAATAACATACCTTTTGTTTCTTCTTTTGCTTTTTGTGTTGCTAAATCTGCAAGCCAGTGCAGTGCTGATGAGGGGCTTGTTTCTGGACATAGCGACTTGTTAGGTTTTGTCTCACCACCACTGTTGCTGGTTGCTGGAACTTCTGTTTTTACAGGCTCTTCAATTTTGCTTTCCGTAGTTTCAGACTTAGGTGCAGCATTTGTGTCTAGCTGTCCACCTTCTGTTGTTCCTGTGCCACCAGAAAATGAATTCTCATTTCCAGAAATGGATGTACCAGGATTCATACTGGGCAACTGCTGAAAGAGAGGATCATATACAACACAGTGAAAATGTGGTATTTGAAACACTTTTAATTAACTTAAATGTTTTTGCTGTTGTTTCTTTTAACTAGCAACAGTACAATACTAAGATTGTCTGTGAGGAGAATTCCAAATACTGGCAAATATAATAGCTACAATCGTTCCATCAACACAATGTTTACAAAGATCTTTGAACCAGCCTAACAATGTATACCTAGAACACTAGCCAGACAGATCTCTATTTCAATACAGTTAATAAATGAGAATGTTCAAAGGATTACTGGTTTTGGAGAAACCATGATGAAAAATACAAAAATGGAACTGGTACAGGAGCAAGAAAGTTCTAAGAGAGAACAAACTGAGAAAGACAAGAAGAAAAGGCATGGGAGCAGAATAAAATCTTAAGCCCCATCCACTGAAATAATTCCCAGGCCTTCCCTTGCATTCAGAGCTTACACCATATGTCCTTGATTGTGAACAGGAGACAAGAGGTTTCCCCTGCCTGGGCTCCAACATGGTATAGGATGCTACAAGTATTGCATGGAAGACAAGTGGTGCTTGATGAGGAAGATGGATAAGACTTGGGTACTTCTGTGAAGAAGACAGTATTATGCTCTTCATCTTTTGAAAAATAACAATGTTGTTGTTAGTTGCGAAGTCACGACCCCATGGACAACATTTCTCCAGGCCTTCCTGTTCTCCACCATCCCGCGGACTCCACTTAAGCTCACACCAACTGCTTCAGTGACTCCATCCAGCCACCTCATTCTCTGCCATCCCCCTCTTCTTTTGCCATCTATTGTTCCCAGCATTAGGCTCTTCTCCAGGGAGTCCTTCCTTCTGATTAGGTGGCCAAAGTATTTGAGTTTCATCTTCAGGATCTGGCCTTCTAAAGAGCAGTCAGGGTTGATCTCCTCTAGGACTGACTGGGGTTTGATCACCTTGCAGTCCAAGGGACTCGCAGGAGTCTCCTCCAGCACCACAATTCAAAGGCCTCAATTCTTCGGCGCTCAGCCTTCCTTATGGTCCAGCTTTCACAGCCATACATTGCAACTGGAAAACCATAGAAACATAGAAACAGAGCGACTCAGAAGGGACCTCCGGGGCCATCTAGTCTGACTCCTGGCTCCAGCCGGATCCGCTCACGACATGCCTACCATGGGCATGTCCAGCCTATCTTTGAACACCCTCACCGATGGGGCCTCAATGACCTCTCTCCAGCCACTTGTCACTTAACCTGTACTTATGTCACCTATTCCTATGCCCCAAGTGCAAGACCTTGCACTTATGCACATTGAACGCCATCCTGTTGTCTCCTGCCCACTTCCATAATCTGTCAAGATCCTTTTGGATCTGGAGTATCTGCTCCTCAGTTGTGGCCACTGCTCCAGTTTTAGTGTCTGCAAATTTGATCAGCAGACTGTTCACCCCTTCTTCCATGTCATTTATGAAAAGATTAAACAGGATCGGCCCTTGGCCGCCATCCTGACAATTCCCCACTAATGGTTACCCTCTGCTTTCGGTCAGTCAACCATGCCCTAATCCACCAGACAGTGCTTTGGTGTATCCCAAAGCCCCTCAGTTTCTCCACCAGGATATTATGGGGCACTCTGTCAAAGGCCTTGCTGAAATCCAGGTAAACCACATCCACTGCATCCCCTCCATCCAGCCATCTCAAAACCTTGTCAAAGAATTCCACAAGGTTTGTCTGGCAGGACCTGTTTTTGCGGAAGCTGTGTTGTGTGGCTGCCAGCCTCCCTTCCCTATCTAGCATCACTAGATCTCTGTCTATTGTGAGCCTTTCCATTGTTTTTCCTACAATGGATGTAAGGCTAACAGGTCTGTAATTCCCCATATCCCTTCTACTACCCTTTTTGAAAATTGGGACCACTGATGCCACCCTCCAGTCCTCTGGAACTTCACCTGTTCTCCACGAGGCCTCAAAAATGGAGGCCAGCGGGCATGAGAGAACCCCTGCCAACTCTTTAAGTACTCTCAGGTGTAACCAGTCAGGGCCTGGCACCTTTGTAATGTCCAGTGCCCTGAGGAGCCCCTCGACTTCAAGGGGGGTGACTCTAATCTGTGCCCCTAAGTCCACAGCCTCATCTAATCTCCTATGCATATCTCCCCCGTCCAGCTTTGGAGAGAACACAGAGGCAAAATAGTCATTTAGCATCTGTGCCTGTTCCCTCGCATCAGTCACTGGATCTCCTTCCTCCTTATTTAGTGGTCCCACCACTTGTCTCCCCTTCCTCTTCCTATTTACATGCTGAAGGAAGCCCTTTTTGTTGCTCTTGATATTCTTGGCAAGTCTCAGCTTGTAATCAGCCTTAGCCTTGCGAAGAATCCTTCTGCAACGGGCCTCCTCCTCCCGGTATACCCTTTTGTCTATTTGCCCCAGTACCCATTTCCTACGGAGGTTCCTTTCGTCTAATCCCTCTAACCACCGCCTTTTGCATCCATGGCAGCACTCTCCTCCACCTCCCCACCTAACTAGAAGTATTGTCAAGGCTTGTGCCTCCAAAACTTCCCTTTTGAGTTCCATCCATCCCTTCTCAACTCGCTTACCTTCCAATAACCTATCCCAGGAGACTTTCCCCAGTCTGGCCTTCAGTTAGCCAAAGTTGGCCCTCTTGAAGTCCCAGCTTCTAGTGCTCGACCTGCTGCACATCCCTAGTCCCCTGATCTCAAAGCAAAGGATGGAGTGATCACTCGCATCCAGAGCTCCCCTAATCTGTACTTCATCTATCAGCTCCCCTCTATTGGTCAAGACCAAGCCAAGGATGTTTCTCCCCCTCATCGCCTCTCGGACCCTCTGTGTGAAAAACCCTCCCTCTATAGCCTCTAAGAAGCGACGTGATGTGACATAGCCTTGACTATACACACTTTTGTTGGCAGGGTGATGTCTCTGCTTTTTAGTATGCTGTCTAGATTTGCCATAGCTTTCCTCCCAGGGAGCAAGCATCTTTTAATTTCTTGGCTGCAGTCACCGTCTGCGGTGATCTTGGAGCCCAGGAAAATAAAATTTCTCACTACCTCCATTTTCCCCCCATCTATTGGCCAGGAAGTGATAGGACCTGATGCCATGATGTTAGTTTTCTTAATGTTAAGTTTCAAGCCAACTTTTGCACTCTCCCCCTCCACCCGCATCAAGAGGCTCTTTATAGTTCCTCTTCACTTTCTGCCATTAGAGTGATATCATCTGCATATCTGAGGTTGTTGATATTTCTCCAGGCAATCTTAATTCCAACTTGTGATTCATCTAGCCCCGCCTTTCTCATGATGTGCTCTGCATATAAGTTAAATAGGCAGGGCGACAGTATACAGCCTTGCCAAACTCCTTTCTCAATTTTGAATCAATCAGTGGTTCCGTGTCCAGTTCTCCTGTTGCTTCTTGACCCGCATATAGGTTTCTCAAGAGACAAATAAGATGGTCTGGTACTCCCATCTCTTTAAGAACTTGCCACAATTTGTTGTGATCCACACAATCAAAGGCTTTAGCATAGTCAATGAAGCAGAAGTAGATGTTTTTCTGGAACACCCTAGCTTTCTCCATGATCCAGCATATGTTGGCTATTTGATCTTTAGTTCCTCTGCCTCTTCGAAATCCTGCCTGTACTTGTGGTAGTTCTCAGTCCACATACTGCTGGAGCCAAGCTTGTAGGATTTTGAGCATAACTTTGCTAGCATGTGAAGTGAGTGCAATGGTGCGGTATTTGGACATTCTTTGGCATTGCCCTTCTTTGGGATCAGAATGTAAACTGACCTTTTCCAATCCTGTGGTCACTACTGTTGAGTTTTCCAAATTTGCTGGCATATTGTGTGCAGCACTTTTACTGCATCATCTTTTAGAATTTTGAATAGCTCAGCTGAAATACTGCCACCTCCACTAGCTTTGTTGTTGCTCAGACTTCCTAAGGCCCATTTGACTTCACATCCAGGATGTCTGGCTCGAGGTCAATGACCATCCCATCATGGTCAATGACCACCCCATCGTTAAGCTCTTTCTTGTATAGTTCTTCTGTGTAATCTTGCCACCTCTTCTTAATCTCTTCTACCTCTGTTAGGTCCCTGCCATTTTGGTCCTTTATCATGCCCATCTTTGCATGAAATGTTCCCTTCATATCTCCAATTTTCTTGAAGAGATCTCTGGTCCTCCCTGTTCTATTGTTTTCTTCTATTTCTTTGCGCTGTTCATTTAAGAAGGCATTTTTATCTCTTCTAGCTATTCTCTGGAATTCTGCATTTAGTTGGGTGTATCTTTCTCCTTCTCCCTTGCCTTTCACTTCCCTTCTTTTCTCTGCTATTTGTAAAGCTTCCTCAGACTGCCATTTTGCTTTCTTGCATTCCTTTTTCTTTGGGATGGTTTTAGTTGCTACCTCTTGTACAATGTTGCGAACCTCCATCCATAGTTGTTCAGGCACTCTGTCTATCAGATCTAATTCTTTAAAAAATAACAATTGGGCTGTATATATTCAGACCTCAGAAAAATCTGTTCAATCTGCTACTGGCAGAAACCTTCTAAAAAGAATTAAGCAAGTATACTGGATTGCATATTTATCATCCAATTAGTCAAGCTATTCATTTATATTCTGCTTTTCCATTAATATGCTATACAACTCAAGTTGCTTGAAGCAATTACAAACTATTACTCCAACATATGTAATGATTCTTGAAAGACAGCAGCCATAGTTAGGGTGCATGCAGTAAGTGGATAAATCCTATCAAGATCATGCCATTTCAAATCTGAAGCAGATTAAAACTTTACATACCTGTGAAATTCCATTGGTTACAGCAGGCCGCAACACAGATTTGTTCTGCCGGTTAATACATGGACAGTTAGCTTTAATTCCCCATTTGCCACGTGCTGCATGAACCATATCTCCAATATTATATAGTGCTGGAAAGTTAGAAATGTGGGTATCAAGCTCCATATCAAAATCTTAAAAGTCTCAAAATGCAAGCATCGGTATATTTCTTCTTACAGCATGACCAGTAAGGGTACTAGGACTTGACAAACAAGAAACCTGTCCTCAGAGAGCCGATAGTGTTGATAAAGAACTGGCTTTTAAACCATTTGAGAGAGCTCTCTGTGCAAGAGACCAGAAAAGACATAGAAAAATAAGAGTTATTGGTGAAGTATTACCTGTTCCAGGGATGATCTGTGTTGGCATGAGGTTTTCTGGTTCATGTGACTGTCCTTTTGCACACTTTAGCCATGAAAAAACCTCTTCATCACCAATCTCCTCTGTTTCTGAAATAGGACAGTCACATCTTTTAACTTTCCAAATCCTTGCTTGTATGTACAGTTCCACAAAGTAAAAAAATTCAAAAGTGCCAAGCTTCAGTTTTACTAGGCAGTCTTTTCAGAGTAACAGAAAACCTTGCAGCGTTTTTACGAATTAAATATCTTAAGAGATAATTGGAATCTTTAATGCAGCACTGAAAAATGCCTTGGATACCCAATACGAACATTTCACTTTTTTTTTTAAACTGGAAAATGCATTATCAAACTTGAAATGAAACTTTTCATGATGTATTTTGCATTATTCAGTTTCTGCCTCATTATAGTCCACTATTTTCAGTAACGTATATCCACATACCTGCACCTTAGCTTGCTTTCCTATTACTTACCAACTGCATGTCCTGCCCCAAGCAGTATATTAAGTTATTTCTATACAAGATTTTCATTTAGAATGTTCAAGGGACAAAATAAAACCAGCCAATAAAAGTCCCATTTCCCACTTAGGACAGCATACAATTCTATTTTATCTTCCCTATGCTGGAGGGTCTTACTCCCACTAAGGTAAAAGTCACCCCTGCTCAGAGGTTACTTTCCTTCAGGACTATCCACAGAGAAACAGTGGGAACAAGAGATTGAGGTTCATACACACCCAAAATTAAGTGCTCTGCTCTCAGTGTTGTTTTGATAGCTCAGAATAAGTGAAGAGAGTAAATCAAAGTAGCACGCCCAACCTGCAGCACTGCTTTGTCAATAACATACCAAAGCAACCAGTTTATTCAGAGGTGGGCTGACTTCAGTCCAGGAATTATTTTCTGTTTAATAACTGAGTTCAAAGTCCAGGCACACAGAAATCTTCTTCTAGTTGCTCAACTTGCCCCATTTCAACAGTTTAATTTAGATGTGGGGATGGGGAGAAAGCGTCTGTTGCTGCTGTAGTTAAACAAGTAGGCATCAGAAATCCTTGGTGGGTTACTTAAGGCAATCATTCTGTGTCATTACATTCTAACCTTTTCACAAGACAACCACCTGAAGCAGTATAGCCATTCAACCTTTACAGCGTTTTTTGAAAACAAATGCAAAGTACTCACCACTGCGTGGACGGTTTTTCCGGAGGCGGTAACAATCCAAACAAACCCCAAAGCCACATTTACGACAAACCCAATGAATATTGAACAGTGTTGTTTCACATACGTCACACATTTCTCTCACACCCCGTACAGCTCTCTTCCAGGCCACTTTTTCTACCAAAAAATAAAACAAGATAAGATAAGATAAGATAAGAGAAGAGAAGAGAAGAGAAGAGAAGAGAAGAGAAGAGAAGAGAAGAGAAGAGCAGAGCAGAGCAGAGCAGAGCAGAGCAGAGCAGAGCAGAGCAGAGCAATGATGTGTGGGTGAACAGATTATAATTTTTTTTTTTTTGAAAACCTGGGAGCTGTACAGGAGACATTCAAAGCTGTTCAACACACATTTAAATGCATGTCTCTCCCTTTCTGAGAAAAGGAATGGTGGAGTTTGAGAAACTCAGGAAAAGGCCCTTTTTCATGCATAAATCTTCCCATGATGGATTCAGGTTAATCCATACAATGTTTTTGTTTTACTGCCAATTTTTAATAGTTCACATAATTAGAATCACTAGATTAAGACCTAGCACATACCAACAACCAGCCAATTACACAGCACTATGTGATGGTAACATGGCACTTAGGAAAATCTGTGTTCTATTACATTTGTGGGCTGAGATTTGTTATCAGATAAAGTATTTCACTGTGGTAAATAAGAACTAGATTTTAAATGACTTTCAGAAATTGTAGTTGCAATGCAGTGATATGTGAACAATGATGTGCAAATTTATTCTCTGTTTATATGTTGTTCAGAACTAATTTGAAAGAGGAAATTCTTTCCTCCGAACCTCAAAAGGGCATAATCTTTAAGCTATTCAACATGACTGAAGAAATCTGAATAAACAATTAAGATAGTGATTTGATTACCTTTCCTATAGTAATTCAAGTTTCAGTGCACTACACACACAAGTTAAAAAGAAAAGAGGTACTTACGGTGTGGTTCCACCATCATCATTGCCTCCTTTTCAGACATAACCAACTGACAGAACTGGTCCCCAACATTGGCCAGGATGTATTTAGAGGTCTCCAAATCAATCCCCTCTGCAGGAGATGACGACGGGATCCACAAGCTCATAGCATCAGAGTCACTCTGTTGGGGGTTCAAGAATCCCTCTACTCGTAGTATGCCCTTCCGAGTAAATATCAGTCTGAAATAGTATGGAATGAATGGGTTAGAGCAAAGAGCAAAGCTAAAAGAATGTCTTCCATTATGCATATCCTCTAAAATTAGCATGATTGATTCCTGAAGACATACTATGGCAGAAACTAACAGAAAATGGAATTTTGTTAAAAACTACTTTTAATAGCAATAATAAAAACCATTTCTAATTAGGCAAGATGGTCAACCCAGTGCTATTTTTTAGAGGCTTTTGTGAACTGTTTCCCATTTTCATCTTCAGGAGTAAGCTTCCATTATCTAGGTTTTAAAGAGCAATACAACATAACTAACTTGCATAGAGGAAGTGATTGGCATAAAAAGCATTGCCCTCTTTTCCAGAAGTTCAATTTCTGCTTGGCTACTAATTTTTATCTTGCTGAGACCTGTGTTTCGAACCTGAGACCTTATACATGTACTATAAATGAAAATTGTATTACCTCCTCCCCTCCCCACATGGGGTTCATTTAAAAAAACAAGCAGGATCACTTAGGATGGACACACATGAAACACATGCTTTATTCACATGGCTTTTCTTCATTTCTCTAGGAAAAAAACAGATAGCCAACAGCAAAACACGCACTCACATGCGGGAAAGTGTATGAGATGGGAAAGTATTACTAACGCTTTTATGAACACATGATCTTCGTCACTCTAACCGGTTCTAAGCCAGTTTGACCAGATTTTCTCCTTCATTTCCTGCGGAACAATCTACCCTTTTGTATGTATTAGCATTTCAAGACTCTTCACATATTTCATAAAAGTATATTAAGATGTAATGTTTAGAAAAAAATTCATACATTGATGCTTTCTACAGTAAAAAAGGACACTAAGTTTCAAAAATGCTAGAATACAAGGATCCTCCTGTGAAGCATGTATCAATTTCGCAGGATGGGTTGATTTAAATCACAATGATTTTTAATCAGTATTTTAAATCACCAAGAACAAGGTGAGACTTAAGTGTTTGATTTCTGAGGCAAGAATTGCCAAAATGATGGTGGTGCATTTATTACTGCTACAATGATGAACCCTATTTGATGTCATCAACATCTACATTATCAAGAAACACCATTCCCTTAGAAGTGACAAATCTTGTTTCCAGAAAATTCTGGAGAACTGCCCCAAAGTCCAGCACACCTAACTTTACTGGAATGTGTTGCTTATGCTCAGTAAACTACCTTATCAATCTGAGCAAAAAATCAAAGATAAATTAACTAAGAATTTGTAATTACTTCACATTAATTCCCTTCTTTATTCCCACCCCACCCCTGCCATCTTTAAACCAGGGGTGAATCAAGTCATTTGACTCAAGGAGCTCAATAAGTCAATTTTGCCTACTGGGAATCAAACTCCCATAAGTGCTGGGATTGGAGGGGAATAAAGAACAAAAACCAAAATAGTATCTGGTCCTCCACAGAAGATTCATACACCATTCTGTCTGGTGAAAAAATATGACATTTTCAATGGTTCCTCAGATGTGGGGGGTGGAGGTGGCTTACAGATCATATTGTTTTAAAATTATATAAAATTTATTGTACTAAAGATATATAGGCTGCATGACCAGAAGCTTTGGTTATCCTCCTACCTTTGTTTTAGTTGAAGACCACCAAGTTGATTTAACAATTGGTAGCAGTCATATTTAGGAAATTAATGAACAACAAAGTGGAAAATCTGATATAAATCAATTAGGTTGGTTGTGAGCACATGAGAGTAAGCATGGTTGTTTCATCTACTTTTGCTTTCCTAAACATCCCTATCTATTCTTGGGCTGTTACTGTTACATCCAAACCTGGAAACTCTGGATTGTTAAGAAAACAGAAGGAATAAGTGTGTTGAAAACAGTACACATGCTGCCACATGGCCACAATTAACTATGGATTAAACAAGTCACAGTTCGTGATTACATGCAAACTAGGCCAGTATGTTTGGCAGAGACTCACTAATTGAGTTTGAAGTATAGAATGCAAAAATATATATACCACATTCAGATCTCATTATGAAGTCAAGTTATTTTCAAATATGCAACGCTTACCTGAACATTTTTTTAAAAATTAAACATCCCATTTAAATTAAATTTCATTTTGGCTTTTAAAACTTTTTATCCATCTTATTATTCAGCTGCAAGTTCACAGGTCAGCTTCACCAGGATGAGTGAAGAAAATCGCAGAAGCTATACCAGGAAATGCAGTAGTCATTACAGAAAGCATATTAAACTCTAAAGATCTGAAATTATTTTCAAAATTATGTTGCTGTCAAAATGTAAATGGGCAAGCTAGATTTTAGATACCAGCAAATGGTAGACTGAGACACGCTCAGAGAACTTCATTACCTGCGGAAGTGAAAGAAGCGGCAGGCCACAGTAGAGTCATCTTGCTCTTGTTCCTTGAACTTGCGGTAGCGTTCTAACCGGCACTCCCGGCATTTGTGCAGATGAGGGGCTACGTTGATGCAGGAACCATCCTGGAGGAATGGTTCCCCTGACTGCTTCAACTTCCTCACCTTACTCATGTCTTTCAGTACAGACTGGCCAACTACAAAACAAAGAATCGGTTAAGAGTTCTTCACTAACTATGAGGCAAAGTATGCCAGATTCCAAGTAGTAGATTACATACTTCTGACTCCACTAAAAGAAAAGCCCTACATGGAGGTTATGCTTGCTAGGGAGCAGCACTATTCTTGTTGTTACCTGACATGTGCACACCAATTGCAAGGGCCAAGGCGCGTATGCCTGATTTGAGTAAGGCTAGATGATATGCTTCAAGAACAAGTTTTACTACATTTTGATTTGATTTCAATTTAACTTTTTGTAAATTGCCTTTGCTGGTCACAGAAAGCTGGTACAAAATATAATAAAAATGCACAGACTCCTCAGAAAACCTAATGTCCAAGATGCAATCATCAGGCAAATGTGGTAGTAGGTTATGACCTTAAGCATTCATATTGCTTGAACTCTATCAAATTAACACTTACATATATCCAGGGTGCCTAACTTGGCACTTCCCTTATCACCTGCCAGGCTCACTGCCCTTGATTTTTTATTCTTAATTGGAAGGCTAGAATGCATACACCTGCAGCCTTATCTGTATTTCCAAGAATGCTCATGGTTCCAGAAGCATTCAGAGATAGTGAAAAAAGCTAAGTGGGTGAAACTCAGTGCTCTCTTTATAATTATGACTAAAAAAGGTATACTGCAGGAGTGACAGAAGTGGAGGGTGCTTTGCCTATGCCTTCTTTGTATTTTGCCTGTTTTTCAAAATGTGGTGCATGTGAGCTAGCTAGCATATCAGTTTGTGTGTTCTGCCTGGAATACTGCGTGTGAATGTGTATATGTGTGCAGTGTATTTCGTATTTATGTACACACACATGTGTTTCTCTGAACATGACCAATTTTCCTTCTGCAATATTAGTATTTTTTGTGCTTTATGGAGGCAAATATGTGATTTAGCATTTGGAGCTAGGATCTGACCTTTGTTGTGTCTAGTTTCTTGTCCAAATTACTTGTCTCTGAGGCTTATCATTTTGCCTTCCGTGAAATGGGAGTTGGAACAGAAAACTGTGGGTTCAAGAGAGTGCTTTTGTATTTAGAAACATAGACCCCACTTCTGACTTGTTCTTGGTAAATGAAATGAGCCATATAAAGATCTCTTATTGGATAAATTCTAGTCTCAGCTCAATAACACCATCCTCAACTATGCTGTAAGTCTCCATAGTTAGAAAATGTCCGTAGACCTTCCTAGAACTAGTTATTTCTTTCTGTGCTTTGCCAATCTCGTCCTTTTTATATTGATTCTCAGGCTACCTTTGCCTTTCACTCCCCAGTGATGTCCTTTAGTTCGTGTTTCCTCTTTTGCTAATCCTGTCAAATAAGCCACAGTTATAAAACTGGGATAAATCAGAACAATAATTCAGGCACTAGAAACAGTCATCATTTCTTCTGGCTTTCTTAACTAGAGAACACAGACTAGCATGGATACAAATCTCACACACCTGGTCAGCAATAGATGGCATAATCCCTTTTCCAAAGAAAAATCTACTTGCCTGCAATCTTCATTAATCTTGTATCGTAAGTTTATACCTCTGTACAACTTATCTTCTTTACAGATAATACTTAGTATCTTAAGAACATACTTTGAGAATCCTATTTTTTCCTGCCATGCTCTGGCCATAATATTAAAAACATTTTTACCCTGCTCTTCACACCCCAAAGACTCCTAGAGCAACTTACAGAAGACAGATTAACAGAAGGGTGATCACATCACACAGTGGACCATACAGAGAACATGAAGGTACAGCCACCTGCAGCCTTCCCCAAATAACTAAATCCTGCCTTTAAAGCCTTCACCTTTCAGGGGGGCTGTGCGAGGCCTGCCCTTCGGCGTTTGTTTCCCTTTTCCCTTGCCCATTAGTAGTTCAGCATTCCGCTCGCCATTGGGACCCAGTTTCCCAATCAGATGCTCTGGGATTCCCTTCAGGCAAGCTTTGGTGTGCAGCTGCTCCTCAGAATCACTCATGTCAGAGAGGTCGCTATTGGTACTAGAATCAGAATCCTGCTTAGATGGCATGCTCCGCTCATCTAGAGAGAACCTTTTCACAGTTTCAAAGGGAACTTTGTTCTCCAACACTAGTTCTGCCTGTGAAGAGAAGAAGCCGGCCGGATGTCTGCCAAACACGTTAGAAAAAGTTTTCATAAGTGGATTGTCCTGTTGCCCAGGCCCAACAGATGGCTTTTCTTCTGTTGGACTGGAAGACAGTGTGGGCATTTCAATAGGCTGTGTCAGGCTGCCAATAGGCGAGCTGGAACGGCCATTCCCCAAATTAGATGAGCTTTGAACACCAGCGAAGAGAGTTGAACTAGGTGTACTGGATAACATCTTGGACGAATCCGTTGTTATAAACAAACTTTTCTTTTTTGCTAAAGAGTCAGTTGAGGTGTGCAAATCTGACCAGCCAGAAGCTGTCTTGGAACCAAGAACTGAAGAGGGAGTAGCAGATACCCCTGGCTGAGATGAGGATGCAAAGCTACTAAAAGGACTGAGTTCTGATTTTTCTGCAAATGCCAGAAAAGGGTTTGAGGGCTCCTCTCGTGAGAGTTTTGGGGGTTGCAAAAAGAGATTCTCATGATTATCTGGAGGTCGAGTACTCAAGAGGTTTCGTGGGAAAGCTGGAGTAAGGGTGGGCATAGACTCCACTGGCAGCTTCCGGTCCACAGAACTGCCCAACTGAGTTGCAGGTTTAGCTTCTCCTGGATGACTTTTACCCTTGCAAATGCTCAAACTCAGGGTCTCTGTACTTTTTTTTAATGAGTCTTGATTCGTAGGCTCTTCACCCAGATTCTCTGACAAGCCTGTGAAGTAGTTGCTGGTAGGAAGATTCTGGGACATGCACTGAAAAAACAAGTTCTTTGATAAATCAGCATCTTTCTGGACCTCCTGACCAGTGTTGCTACCAAATGAAAATCCAACAGGTTTCTTCTCTGGCGCTAATATGCCGTTGGATTGGCTTCGCCCACTATCAAACACCACAGGCTGGGAGGCACTCGAGTGTGCTGTTCCAAATCCCGGAGAAGCCAACAATGAATTTTGGGAATTCTGAAATAAAATAAGAGTATAATTGGCTGATGTCTTAAGTCAAAAATTCAAAATCATTTTTACCATGCCTGTTTCCCTCAATATACTTTTTAACAGCTCTTAGCAGTTTACTGCCTATCAGAAATATAATATATTGAACAGCAAGCACAGCTGGGCTGCCTAAATTCAGTTGGGCTAACTAGTCTTACATATTTAAATATGTAGATGAGTTCTTGCATTTTTGCAGTGTCTTTTAAGAAGCTACAAAGAATGAGGAAAAACATACTGGGTTGCCTCCAATGTTAGTCCTAATTATGAACAAATCCACTGAAAAGGATAGAACTTAGGTTAGACTAATATTGGATACAAACCCTTACGTTAGTGAATTTCAGAACTCCATTTCCGAAATGATACTCTGGCAACATCTACCTTGAAGTAGCCATTCCAAAATCACTGCTTGTTTCCTTTATAACATATCAGATCTCTCTTGAAAGTACATATTGCCCATGTCCCCTCTGCATAAAGCACTTTTTTGTGGGGGCGAATATTAAAAAGAATCAAAATACACCAAACTGCTAGTTTTCAGCTGTAACTTTATTGACTGTGCAGGCTAACATCCTTCTCCTAAGGCAGGGATCTGAGACAACTTGATAAAACTCCCAGAGACTAGAGCCCACCAATTTCCCCAGTTAGCACAGACTCTCAGGCAATACATTTGCCCTTTTAGCAGGGAGTACAATTCCATCTAAGGCCCTTTATAAACCTCTATTTAGAGTTGCTGGTTTCCCAATTCACCATACCTTAGAACATAAGCCATGCTGGATCAGACCATCTAGTCCAACACACTGTTCACAGAGGCAAACCAGCTGTCTACAGAATCCCTCACACAGGATGCGAGTACAACAGCTCCCTCGTATCCATGTTCCCTAGCAACTGTTGTACACAGGCATAATGCCTCTGATACTGGAGGTAGCATGTAGCCATCAAGACTAATAGTCATTGATGGACTTCTCCTCCGTGAATTTGCCTAATCCTTTTTAAAACCATCCAAACTGGTGGCCACAGGTACTTCTTGTGACCGTGAATACCACAGTTTACATTAGGCTTTGCTTGTTCATCTTCATCCACTCCAAAAGAGCTTCCAGATGCTGATTCAAGAGTTTTACAGCCTCCCTGGGATGTGTAAATGGAAACAAGAGGTAGAGCTGTGTATTGCCAATATATGGATGACACTTCAGTCTAAATGCATTTTCCCCAGTAGGATGAAACCCCCCACCCTCTCCTACTGAAGGATCAGATGGTGGCATGCCACAAGCTAACAGAACCACCTGCTTAGGGATGCGTGAGGAATTTGTCTGGAGGGGGGAGAATCCATTGGATCCCCTGGACTCAGCCCCCTGGACTCAGGTCTACTTTGCACTGGCCCAAGGTCCAAGCCCCTTACAAGTATGCCCAACATTCATGGGGCAATTGCCAGGAACTGCGCCCCATGTGTTGTGCAAGCAGCTCCCTTCTCCCATGCCAGGAACAGCTGCTGGTGTGAGCAGCTGCAATTGGTACCACAGAAAGGCCTACCTGCTAGGGACTTATCAGGAAAGCAGCCTCTGTAGCAGCACCTGTGTCTTACATGAAGAATAGCTGTTCTGCAAGCAGGTGCAAGTGGCACTGAAGAGGGGCTAGCCAGAAGAGCAGCGTCCCATAGCCATGCCCCTCTCCAGTGCCAGGAACAGCTGAAGTATCAACAGCTACAACTGGTGCCAAAGAAAGGTTGATGTGAAAGGGGCTCGCCAGGAAAGCGGCCTGCCTGTGACCTGTTAGGCACTGCAGCCGTAGCAGAAGGTTGTCGGTTGTGTAACCAGGACTCCACAAGTGTTTGTGGACTTTCTTTCAGTTCAGCTTGCTTTGGAAGGCCAGGCTGAGTACAAGAGGAAGCCTGTGAATACTTGGAGAAATGAATTCCAATAGGGTTTATCCCAACCTTACACCTGCTGAAACCATTCCAATAAGACAGCAACAAAATAATTCATGCAAAGCATTTTGGCTATACTAAGCTATATAAATGCTAACTATTACTTCTACAATGCTATAAACAACTTACATCTCCTTGGGGTTGTGAACAGCACACTTTCTGTTTTTCTTGTCCAGAAACTGCTGAAAGGCCAGTATCAGAGATCCGCACAGTGGTTGGAGTTGGCCCAGCTGTAGTAATTACAACAGGGGTAGTCACTAGGTTTTGACTGGCCTGTTCCAAGGATTTTGCCATCTCTTGATTTCCAGGTCCACTTAGCAGTGTTTGAGCAGTAGCTGAAGAAAAGGAAGTAAAGGGCATAGGTGTGCCACTACCCACTGGTTCATCTTGGACTACAAGAGTTCGGCCATTCTCCTTTGTGTATGTGGCAAAGCGAATATTACGATTAATTTGAGGAACAAATGGGGGCGGCTGCTTGGCCTTTGGATCTGGAGCCACTTCACTGCTGATGTTTCCTTTCCAAGCTCCCCTGTTTGCCTCACTTCCATCACTTCCATTACTATCCACTTCACCCCTCTCCTTTAATTTCTTTGTAGCATGATCACATCCAGCATCAGAAGCATTTTTTCTCCTTCGTCCATCTTTCACTTCCACACTTTCTCTCTTCTTTTTCCCTTTTGAGGATTTAGCTCCCTTTAGAGATCCTCCCTTTAACAAAGAAAAATCAGATATCACCACAAACATGTTAAGAAACTTAGACTTCCAACTAATAGTATGCTGCTCTAAACACCACATTTAAATGTCATAATTCAGCAGAATAACTGCTTGTTCAAAACTAATCCAGATACATTCACTTAAAGCACAAGCATATATACTGAAGTCTATCAGTGCTGTGTGTGCATACAGGATTATAGCCTTAATCAGCAAGTGAAACTATTCAATATTTTAAAATACACAGAGGCTCATGTCACCTATCATAATAAATACTACCTTTGAGATCAGCTCTTTTAAACCAATGTAAGTATTTAAATCATGACTCAGCAAAGCATGGTACCTCATTCAGAGCAGAAGTGTCCATCACTACATGAATTAGTCGGGGATCCACTGACTTGATTTCACCAGTCTGATTTTTAATGTGGTGAACAACAGGAGGGGAAGTGAGAGAAAAGAAAAAGTCATTATTAGAGTGGTGACATATTGATCATAAAGTACTTTTAGCTCCTCCAATTCCCCTCTTCACTTGCTTTTTCTCAGAACTCTATCACTCTTGCCACCTGAGATTCCACAGAAGCTGATACACTGAACCAATCTGGACATAATGTTAACTCATGGTTTAGCATTATGTGCATGAGTGGTAGTGAAGCTTAGGGTTGTGCACTCCTTGCTCTCCCTTTGATATGTTCAAAGAAAACCTCCTCCAGTTTTAGATTAACCAGAATGCCCCTTTGTAACTCAGGTTAGGTAACATTCAACTCTACCTAAATAGCACACCAGGATCATGAACCAGTTTGATCCTGGCTTGCTTGAAATAACTAGAGTTTAAACAAACCAAAATTCAGAGTTTGGACTTAATGGTGAACACTGCTTGGTTTAAAGCACTTGGTGTAAAGTGGAAGCCTTTACACTCCTCTTCTTGTAGGCAAAAGAAGATGATGGGCAAGTGCAGAAGCCCAGGCCCATCGTGGCCCATGTACACAACGTTCAACTAAAATTTAGCACTGTGCTTGAACTAGTCTATTCTGAGAATGAAAATTAGCTTTTGGAAAACCAGGGCATACAGGTAAATGCCAGAAATCACAAGGATTTCACCAAGTTAGTGAATATGGGACATAAATTTGAGGAATGATACCTTACAGAAGAAAATATACTTTTTTCATACCCATTAGTTTCCTGCACATCCTTAGCAATAGACCTCAAATCAGAAAGCAGCCAAGAGATGTCACTTTATTCTTTTTGGCACCAGGCTAAAATCTTTTTATTTTCCCAATGTTTTAAGGTTTGACTGTTTTAATATAGGGTTTACTGTTCATTGGTTAAGAATTTGACAAGGATACTGTATTTTATACTATTTTGTCTTATTGTTGAACCATCCCAAGACCATGGTAAGGGATGGTCTAAAAAAGTGTTAAATAAATAAAAATGTTTCATTATCTTTCCTTTGAGTTGACCATGCTGTGAAGTGAATCCAAAGAACAGAGGCAGCAGAAAAACAGCCTCTAATGGTGTTCCTCAAACTATAGGGTAAGCTGATGGGATACTATAATAGGTAGGTTCTACAGCACTTCTCATTCTTGCATAAATAATCATATTTTGATTTAGTTTCATTTTCTCATGCAATGTAAGGTGTAAAACAGTCCTTTCGTAAGTAGGAGATACTTGTGCATACAAAGTAGGACTTCTGGATTCAGACAGTGGTAATTTCACCAAGTTAGTGAATATGGGACATAAATCTGAGGAATGATACCTTACAGAAGAAAATATACTTACAGAAGTTCACATGCCCACTTTGACCACTTGCTATCGTGTTCAAGGTTCCTATGACTTCAAGCCCATTTTTCAGATTTTACCAAGGAAGTTCTTAGTACAGAAGCTTATTTTCTAAATGCTGGATGTGGAGCGTTAGGAAAGCCAAGTTCTGTGCACCATAGTGAACACTATACTGATACATTTTGGCTATCTTCTTTCCAGAACATCCATCTTGGAGCATCCAACTTATGAACAATGCTACATTTCTTAAGGTATCAAAGGTATTTTCTTATAGACCTGTTATATAATGGACTAGTAAAGTTAACTATTTTGCATGTTTGTCATCTAACTCTGATCAAGCAACTCTCTATAACAGATGGGCAATATGTGACTTGCCAGAGTGTGACCTGCCAGGATTTCTTTGGATTGTAATTTCACATATTTTAATTCTCATGGACTCTTACTATTGGCTATGCTAGCTAGGGCTATTGGCAGATGTAGGCCAAAGCTACTGGATGGTTACAAGTTGTCTACTGCTACTTTACAAGCTTACTGTCTTCCCTATAATAAGCAGTACATGTGCAATTACAATTTGAAATTCATGCTACTGAATTTAATAGCTTAATTTAGTATTCACACTTACTTGAAAGCAAGCCCCATGCTTCTGAATATACAAATATAGAACTGCACTGTTGGCATGGATTCAGAAACTCCATGAACGGAGTTCCAGTTATGCTCTCCTTATGCTCAAGGAGTGATTGTGTTGTATGGGGGAAGGGTGATTTTTGCTGATTCTCCTATAGCATCTGAAAATCTAATCTTGAACATCTGAGGATCCTAGGAGATAATGCAGGAAGAAGGCAGTATTGGTGAAAATCATTCTGACTCACTCTTTTGTTAGTGGGCACCTCCAACCCCTTCTCTGTTCATTGAAGGAGTTCCTCCATGGAAAGACTACTCTAGAACCAAGCCTGTGCCTCTATGGATACATAACTTACAAGCCACCATAATTCAGCTATAACGGACAGGAAAACAGTAAGAAAATGTAGAATTCAAATATTCTACAGCTTTATTTATAACTGAAATTATGTAAGCTTCATAAAATTGCTGAAACTGTCAGGTTGGCTGAGCATGTGTGTACTGAATACTACAGTGCACACAACTCAGGTCTGTAAATGACAGCCTCCTAGACCTATGAGGAATGGTAGAAAGAGCCAGATAGTTTAACTGGCTGGTGGACTCTTCTGTCCTTTCTTGGTTTTATATTGTTTAATGTTTTGTTGTTTCTATAGTATATCGCACAGCCTTTTCAGCATAATTTTTCTTGTACATTGCCCTGATATTTGCAAGAATGAAGAGCAGTTTAAAAACAATTTTCAAATAAATACAAAGTTTCATATGTTAAGCCTGAAGAGAAATTATAGCCATCTTCAAACAACTGTGGGACTGTTATGCAGAAGAAGGGACAGATTTATTCTCTCCTGCCACAAACAGCAGGAATCGAACCAGCAGAGGGAAAGTGCAGGGAAGATTTCATTTAAATATTAGGATAAACTTCCTAATGATACAAGCTATATGACAGTGCAACATTATGCCTCAAGAGGTAGTGGACTTGCCTCTACCGGCGGTATTTAAGTTGAGGGTGTACAGTGGTTCATCCTCCACTGCGAATCATAGGTAAGCAGCATGGGTCAAAGAGTGGCAATTCCCATAAGCCATAGCTAGCACAGCCAATGGTGAAGGAACAACATATTCCCAGAACTGATTTGATTTAAATCACAATTTAAATCATTAGTAAGACTAGATTTAAATCATAGTTTTCTACCTAATTTGCATGCATGCCTGTATTACCCATAGGTAGAGGACCTTCATTAAAATATTCCCAACTGGGTCTCTTTTATGGCCTGCTGCCATTATGGGTTTTCTCCTTGAGGGAAGGAATAATGATAAACCTCAGGCTATACACAAAAAGATAGAAGGACTTGTGGAGTATTCTGCTCAGGAAGTTTCACTGTCATTTTAACTGCTTTTAGTGTAGCTGCTTGCCCCTCCTCCAGACACAGCTTCTTTTGCAGACCTATTCTTCTGCCAACTATTTTCTTCTATTGACTTTAAAACTTAGCACTTAGGAGGTAATGGGTTGATTCTGTGTATACAGATGTGCAGGAACAATGGAATTAAGTCTTTTTCTCAACTCTTTATAACATTTTAGCTGTGAAGAAGAGGCATGTGATCTCTGCAGACACAGTTATCAGTTTTGAGAACTGTAAAACCAAGCATCTGTGATAATATCTTCTAGATAGAAAAACTGCCCAATAATTTTCCAGAAACCTCTGGAAGAGTATGATATCGTGAATAGATTAATGGAATTTGTTTATCAAAAAAATTAACTATTGCATGAATATATACAGTCTCATGCCAAAAATTAAAAACTGATCCTTATTTCATGATGAATAACCTTTGGATTATAATGTATCTTAATCAGAAAATTATCTTTCGAAAGGCTTTTCCTCAAAAAGCATTGTATTTTTTAAAAATCCAATCTTTAAAATTAAAAAATCTGATGTAGATCAAAAAATCTGATTTAAATTTTAAAAATCATTGATTTTTATCACCCTGCATGTTCCCCACTCCTATTGCAGATTTTGTAGATTTTGCACTAAGTGGAGGTTTGGGGTAGGTAGCCTCCATTACTTCTTCTAACTCTAAAATTCTGTGATTCCATGCAGAGGTGAGGAAATCAAGACATTAGAACCTCACACAAAAAGCTTCATACCTCTGTCAAAACCACCTCCATCAGACGAGTAATAGGATCTTGACAGCTCACAACAGCAGAGACCCAACTATTTTCCTCCTCTGGCTGATACACCTTCACTCTTTGACCCTGGATGCTGTATGGACCTAGAAAAGAGTTGCATATGAGAATGCCATCAGTCAAATCTTTGAAATGAAAGCAAGGATTCTTTAATGAACAAAAGAATATGGGCTGAAGTATTAGGATGCAATCTTATCAGGATGCCCATAAATCCCTGCACTCAAAGGATTATGGGCATCCTGTGCAGAGCAGGAGAATAGCACAAGCAATCTTTGCTTTGCCATCTCCAGCTATGCATTTTCAGTAGATGGCCTTTTTTGTCTGTTTACCTGGAGAATCCTGAAAAAAGGAGGATAACCAATAGCATTATCCTCTTACTCTGGCCTCTCTACAGTTCTCCCTCTAAAATGACCCCCCACTACCCTTCTGCAAGATTGCTTTCCTGACCTTGGAAAGCAGTTGGTACACCTCTTTCCACACTTGCTATGGAAAGGAGAGGTCAGTATTGTACTTCCCAGTTCTAAGATCAGACTGTGCCCCAACTATCCTATGACCCCTCTGACACTGTTTAGAGACCACAGGATTGCTCCCTCCATCTCTTGAACGCACTACCAAAAATCCAGATTTGATTAGCATTTTTTGTGGGATGTAAGAACAAGTAGAATATAGTTTGAATGGTTTTAAGTAGGCATCATATTCAAGTGTGGTTTTGTGTTCTTAATTATATCAGTTTGTGAGATATCTAGTAAAACAAAGAGAACAGGTTTTTTATTTAGAATTTGCTACTCATGCAGAAAATATAAGCTCTAATTTCTTAATCAATTTTTTTTATTTTTTATTTTCCGATTTATATGCTGCCTTTTTCCTACAAAGGGCTCAAGGCAGCTTACATCATTCTCCTCCTCCATCTTATCCCCACAACAACCCTGTGAGGTACGTTGGGCTGAGAGGCTGTGACTGGCCCAAAGTCACCCAGTTGACTCCATGGCTGAGCGGGGACTAGAACCCAGATCCTCTGAGTCCCCGTCCCACGCTCTTAACCACTACGCCACACTGGCTCTCTAAATTTTCTAAAGGGAGAGGATAAATAATTAGTGAAAACATTAAGATATTGATGCATATTAATATTCCACTTTCAAATTCCTTATAGAAGTACAGGGTGGTGCAGGGAAACAGGAAATTTTCAACTGACATTCAATGCATGAATAAACACATTACAAAATAGATTTTATGATGAAATATACTGTACTGGATATTCAATTAATCAAGGTAATAATATTCAATGTTCATTTTATGTCTTGAAGACAACATCATGAAGGTGTTGTCCATTTCTCCATACACGTGGAGCCTGACAGCCTGTTATGGAAATACTGTATCGCTCAGTATGACATGGAATGCCAGCGATTTCCTCTTCAATCCTCCTTTTTAGTTCAGCATTGGTTGCAGGACGTGTGCAGTGCACTTGGCTTTTAAAATGTCCCCACAGAAAAAGCTGACAGACAGTGAGAACTGGAGATCTTGGAGGTCATGGAATGTCACTGTTGAACACCACCTGGGGACTTTTTTTTAAGGCTGAACCCATTTCTTCAAAATTATGCACCCATGTTGTAATCGTATGAGCAGACGGGTCATGATCATGATGTCCTAACTGGTAATGATGCTGAAATTCCCCTTGCGCAGCAGTCACACTATCCCCATTCTTATAAAAGGCTTTTACAGCAAATGCTCATTGTGGACCACTCCACTGCTCCATTATAACTAATGGCAAGGGGTTCTAAGCGAGGTCGCATTGGTTACAAAAAATTGCCAAAGCCGCAGGGTCGTCAACTCCTAGTTCCAAAATTCCCCATTTCCCTGCCTCACCCTGTATTATATTGTAATTAAGTTGACTGATTTCTTCCTACACTAAGTGTCCAAGGTAGCTAGCTAACAATGGAACAATTACAACAGCATATTCAAAACATATAAAATAGCAGATGGAGACAGATACGATTATAAACAGCCAGCTAAACTAAACATTATAACCATCAGCATCAAGTAAGCCATAGGCTGAAACAGCTCTGAATAAGGTTTCCACTAGTAAGCAAAAGACCATCAAAGTGGAGGCTAGAAAAGTCTCCTCAAGAAGGGAATTTAAGATCTTGAGTCCAACCACTGAGGACACCTTCTCTTGGGTCCCCAGCTAATGTTCTATTGCTGAGACATTAAAAAGTTGTTAATGTTTAGGTAGTTAAAAAGATAGTCCTTTAGGTAACCTGGCACCAAGTCATTTAAGGGCTTTAAAATCCATGATCAGTAGTTTGTGTTGTAAAGAGAAACAACCTGGAAACCAGTAGTGCTGTTGCAAAAAGCTAACCATGTGCTCACAATAACAAGCTCTGGGCCACAGCCTTCTGAACCAAAAAAAGCTTCCAAATAGTTTTCAAAGGGAACCCTACATACAGCACATCACAGTAACCCAAGAAAATGTACCTAGGACATGTATCAGCATGATCAGGTCTGATCTTTCAAGGAATAGGTGCAACTAGCAGTTTTAGCTAGTGAAAGCACTTCAATTCTCCAACATCCAGGCTCAAACCTAGCTCTAGGAGCACTCCCAAACTATAAACCTGAGTCTTGAAGGGAAAGTTGTTGCAGGTACAGGGCAGGCCAAAGTCCCAATCCCTAATCTTGCCATTCTGCTCTCTAAGACCACCTTTGTCAAATCAAGATTAAGCTTCTCCCCCCCCCCCCCATTCTCATTCAGTCCACTGCCAACATCAGACAAATAAACTAGGGGTACAGATGCTACAATAAAACAATAGTTGCAACTCATTTGGTAAACAGCAGCAGCCTGTTCCCTGGAACCCATTACAAGGCTCTATCAGCCCATGCTTTTCTTTTGAGACGTTTGAAACAAATGAAGCACAGCTCTGAAAGAGCAGGAATAGGGTCTCAAGCAGTAGCTACAAGAAGAATGAGAAACAAAAAAGTATTTTAAAATTAAAGTTAGCTAGTTTTACCTCTGCTAAATATCTCCTGAAGCTTCTGATCACCAATCAATGCATTGACTGCTTCCCTTAATATAGGCTGCTGTTGGAGCATTTGGTTTTGACTCTCTGTTGCCATCTGCAATATATAAATAAAATTAAAAAAGGTTTTGACTATGGAAAAAACTGTTTATGAAATAGACAACACGTGACTAATTGTCTAGAATATTATATTGTCTAGATTATTATTTCTTGACATTCCTTCTGCATAATGACAAAAGTTTTACAGCAATGTCACTCCGGTACTATTTCACTCATGCATATCCAAAAGCTTCATATGTATTTTCTGCCAAACACAGCTGTGAGAAAGAAACAAACAAGTCCTCTCTGGTATTTACTACACACTATTTACATCTTCATCCAAGGATTAGTTTACCAGATAACAAAATGCACCAAGCTCTTTTTCCGTAGCATATACCACTCTATTTTTGTGTAAAATCTTGCACCCAGAAGCCAAAACAACTGTGCTCCATAATACAAGATTTTAAAACCAGTCAGACTTACTTCTGAAGGAGTCTGACTTCCACAGTGAAAGGTTACTTGTTCTAATTCATGTGACAGTGAACAGCTTTTTCAATGATACAGAATGTGAGAAGTAGTCCATGTGTCAGTTACCTGAACTTCACATATGAAGCCCCCACACAGTTTAAGTGCTTATTATCTGACTACAATAGTTAAAACTCTTTAAATTAGATTTAGTGGCCAGGTTTAGCATACCCAAGCCAAAACTTTCCTTTGCAGATCTCCATGCCACGTTATAAGCTACTTCTGAAATGTCTCCCAGTTGCAAAAGTAGTTTGTAATGAGGCATGGTGACTGTTATTTAAGAAACATATGCCTGCAAGCCTCTTGTGTATATAGAACCTGTTCTATAGTTCTGCGGATGCTGGCCAGGAAGTGTTTTGCTCACTTAATGCCTTGCTTTCCATATTGCAAATAAAGATGGTGTGGAAGTGGGAGGCTAACTGAAAAGCATATTCAAATACTGATTTCTTAATTAGTACTGAATAAATACAGTAAATAATAATTACTTACCTGGAAAAGACGTAATCCACTGGCATCGGAAAGGAACCTCAAGTCTCGGTCTACAAGAGACTCTACTGGAACCACAGAGCCTAAACCCAGCTTATCTACTAAAGGAGTGAACGTCTGTGAATGAGAACAGAATAAAAATGAAGACTTGAAAATGATAGACATGTATTTGGATTGAGATGTTCTCCAAATTAATCTACCTTTTAAAAGTGAATGGTATCATAAATATTTCCTCCATTTTACCTCCCTATAAGGTTTTTGGAAAATAAGCAATAAAGTAGCAGATATCCTCAATCATCTGCTGAAGGGAACAAAGCAACTTTCTGGGAAAATCAAAGTAACACAGTTCAGTTCAGACATGATCCAATGTGCAAGCATCTGTCTTACCCAAACTGATCTGTGCTTATTCTGGAACCTGAGGGTCAATCTAGATACAGCTGCATTCCAAGGAATTCTTGAAGTCAAAAAGTGCTTGGTAGCATGTTAAGCAATTAAATAAATACCCTGCCCTGTGATTTTATTAAGTTTGAATACTTTTACAGAATATTCTACAATAGCTTAAATCCAGACTTTAATTAATGAGGAATCTTGGACAAATAGCCTTTAAGCCTTCTCACCACACTGTAATAATTATCTAGAACAATGTAGCTTGCTTCTGAGTAGGAATAACAAACCCAGTGAAGATACTCACCAGTCCTGGCCAATGCTCAACTGACACTCTAGTTCCTTGAAGCAAAATTGTTTCATTTCGAGGGACCCAAACCAGAGACCCTTCCAACATCAAAACTATCACTTCTTCTGCGTGAACTTTCACCCAAGCGTGCTGCTTCCAATTGCACCGATCAAATTCCACAAATATCTGCAGAAGATTCCAGAATGAGCTTTTTAAACATAAATAGGAACAAAGTCATAACAATTAAATGATACTCTAAACAGGAGTCTACAAATATCAGCTTCGCTTACCCACTAAGTCTCTTATCTGTCTTCCCTACAAGTTGTGTGCCCATCGCTCTGGCATGTAGAAGACTTCCAGAAGAGGCCACAATTTCCTTAGCTTGGACTATGGTGTGGAAAAGATAAGAAAAACAGAGGTCTTGCTGCTCCTTCCCTATTTAATCTTTTTCTAAGCTTTTTCACAGCCATGGGAGTGACAATACTCTGTGTCTCCCTCAAGTTTTCACACAGGGCTTGGGAAAGGGGCAGTCCTTTCTATAAAGGGGTTTGGATAAGATAAGAAACTGCTAGGGAAATGCCTGCAGTTTTTCTTAGCAAACAAATCTCAGTGTAAGAAAAATCCTTCTTTCTTCCACGCCCTCAGTGATTGCCAGAGAATGAAGTTAAGACCTTCCTAACAAGTAGGGAAGTGTAGAAGAACAGGAAAAAATCAGAAGCAATAGCTGCTGTTTCTGTCATTCCCCCAAGCTTCCTGCAAGTCTGAAAACATGGTGACTTTCCCTTATTCCCTCAAGCAAGCAGAGAGCTACAGGGAGAGGTGAGGTCTTCTGAAAAATGCTTTGGGGAAATATCAGAACAAGAAGTTTGCTTCTTTTGCTGTTGTGGTCCTTCTCTAAAATGTTCCACAAAAGAAGACTTCATCTTTTCCTGAGGTCTTCTCTTGCAGGAAGCTTTGAAGAAGTTTTGAAACAATAGGAGAAATGCCTGGTATAGACAGTTTTAGCTCCTCCAGTAAGAGTTGCTATTTTTTGCCAAGAGGTTAGGGATGCTCATCCCTGGAAAACAACTGCCACTGTTGATGCCTGGTTCTGAATGATACCTTTTGCAGAACAGAGTCTACAGATAACATCCAAAAAACACCATTCCAAAATGAACCAAAACCAAAGCTTCATCTGTGCAATTTCCTTGCAATTTAGTAATGTGCAAACCACAGCTTTATTTACTTACTGTTTCTCTACTTCTGATGAAGATTGTGTGTGAGTCTACTCTTTTTTATCTGTGTTTCTGCTTTTTGTGTAATTTTGTAGAAAGTAGTGTAGGAGAGAAATCTTTACTTGTTCTATGCTGCTGGACTTTAAGCTCTTTCCCCCCCCAATGAGAGGGTGGAGGTTGTGCTGGATCCTGAAGAAAACAGGAAGTCAGTGTAGGAATTTAAGGAGAGGTATCACATGAATGATTTTGGCAATAAAGAGCTAGGTAGCTAAAAGGGGATCGTAGTGAGAAAATTGACGGCAGGAAAGGAAAAAAAATCAGTAACTTAAGTGACAGATGCCAAGGGCATGAACCAAAATTTCTGCTAAGAGGAAGGTTGGAAAAGTAACACAACTTGACAATGAACTGAGTAAGGGGGAGAAAGGAGCAATGATGAAGCTACGGCTATATTCCAAGTAGTAGCATATAAGCAAATTAGGGAAGTTTGTGAGAAAAGGACAGCTTGAATAAGGAGATTAAAAGTTCAGCCTGGACAAACTGTTTAAGACTATGATAATGCAGCCAAACAGAAACATAAGAAAGGCTTGAAGTGTGGGCAAATTGAAGGAAAGAATTCAGTGTCATCTGATTACAAGTGGCACTGATAATCAGATATTTAAATGTACCTCTGATGTTAGACTGCATATCTAATAGTAAAGACCAATGAAAATAGTAACCTTCAAATTACTTGACTATGCCTTAACCATCTTAAGTGAGTTTGGGGGTTGAGCTGGGGTTTCCTTGAATGCACTGTGCTATCCACCTTCCATTGCCGATCATGAAAACTGGTACGACTGTTGAGTTGCAACTGAACTTGAAATGAAAGGTTGGGCTATGAATGCACACATGACACTTCATTCTAGTGGCTTGGTTTGGTAACATGACAAACCCAACATTTTTTAAGCCCTGGATTGCCATGAATGAGAAGAGAGTGCTGGTACCTGCTGCCCAATCACTCACATGAAAAGCTGGAGCAGTAGTTTAGCACTGTGTGCAAATCAAGGACTGAGGGTGGGAGGACAACTCTGGCTTCCAACTATAAATTGTCTCTCCTCTAACAAGCCAGAGTTCCTTGTTCACAAACCACACTAATGCCTTCTCACAAACCATACTAAATAACTCAAGGACAGAGTGTCTCTGGATTGTTCATCCACTTCCATTTGCAGTAGAAACAAACAGGGAGCATGCCGTCACATGCTGGCTGGTAACAACTCACAAAACCTGGATGTTGTGATGCTAATCACAACTATGCCAATCTCTCAATGTTCAACTAAGTTCCTGCCTTACCAAATTACACACAAAAAGTGTCCTGTCAAAGGTCCCACTTTGTTCAACCAATATATAATTTAATTGTAGGGATGGCACTTAGGTTTTATATTTCAGTAATTATGCAGATGGAAATACAAGAGCAGTAATTTCAGTCAGTGCAATCAAATATTTTTAATGGAACTTCTGTTATTATACCAACATTTTCTAAATACCTCCATGGAATTTTTCTGCTGTCCCTCTTTCCCTCCCCCTTCCTCTTTCAAAAAATGACCAACAAGAAGTATGGTAAAGTTTTGAAAGATAACTGAATAAAGTCAGCTTACACAAGTATTCTAAACCATCCTGTCAAAATGTTTGCATAAAATTACTTCATAAAAGATTGTTTTTATTTATTGAAACCCAGGAAGTATAAAGGTTCAAGATGCAGACCAAACATCTTCAAATTGCTCCTAGAAGCAGTCTTAAAGAAAATGGTGAAGAGAAAACTTCATTTCCCAATCAAGCAAAAAAAATATGTTCAGAATTGGAATAAGTTAAATTCTCACTAGGAAAAAGCATCTTTGGCTGAAGTGATAAGCTGAAATATCTTAAATACATATATATTCATATAGGACTTTGGAAACTTATATGATACTTTGGTAGAGTTGATAGCAACATCTGCTATGCAAAGTAGATCAGGTAAAGACAGATAGCTACAAGATCTATTAATAGTCAAGATGATATGCTCAAAGCTAGCTTTTTGGAAAAGAAAAAGAAATATGGAAAGTTATGCAAAATTCTTGCAAGAGTTTGGTTAAAACTGGTAGGATACGTTTTCTGTTCCTGATGCATTCATAATTAACATGGATCATTTCTATATGTACCATTCTCTACCACTTCTCATAGTATCTTAAAGCAAGAGATTTACTTAAGAGTTTTAGACCTTAAGTAAGGAGAAAATAAATTCTTTGGTAATTACTAGGTTTAAATATTAAACAGCTTGTATTGGTAACTGGCATATAATCATATTTAAAAACAACATATTTACATAATGTTTGATAGTACAAATTTTAAGATAGCCACCCAGAAACAACAAAAAACTACCATGAAACTATGTTATTAGTAAAAAAAAAAAAAAATATCAGAAGATTAGAAATACAGCAAGCTGTTTCTTCTACAGTGGAAGAAATCCCTTGATCAGAATTGTTATTTTAAGGTTACTAACACTTGTAGATAAGAATAAGCCCCCAAAATACCACACCTAGAGGCTTTTACAAAAAGCAGAATCATGACACCTAGAAAGTACCGGACTGCCATAACCCACACAGGGAATTCACAAAAGTGAAAACTATTACTGAAGTACAAAAATGAAGTCTGAGAAAATAAACTTTAATTCTAATATTTAGAATGTTTTAGGACAGAAAAGATAAAACTATACAAGAATTCCCTAGAATCTTTTGGAAAAATGAGTAGACAACAGGCTTTTTTAAAACTCTACACAATGCAAAAATTAAAAGAGGCTAATGTACACTCCAGAAGGCAACATAAGATTGGGTTGGAATTCTAATAAAACAGTACTAAATGGATTAGACAAATGAGATAATTAACTAAATTAAAGGAATATGTCTTTATTGTCAATAGATATCTTTCAATTTACAGAAAACTAAGTTTCCATTATTGTTCACTATTTCCATCTCCTGAAGACCTCCTGCAGACTATTGGAGTAAAGAGCCATTGGTCATTTTTTTCCAAAAAAATTATACTACTCCACTGAAATATTATAATTTCCACTGGTTCTTGAAGTCCTTCTCCAAATATACATGTCAATGCTAAAAAGAATCCACAAAAAAGAATGCTTCCAATCTGGCTACCTATGATCAAGTGACAGAAGACATTGTGTCTCCACTGCAAACAGCTACAAATTTGCCAGATTCTCTCCAGGCAAGAGATGCTGTTTTGATTCATAACAAAACACAAAGTGGGTTAGAAAACCAATTGCAGGCATGCCAAGTGGTTTTGTCTGTATTTGTTACCATAAGTGCACTCAGACAAAAAAAAATTATTCTAGTTCTGCAATTGTCTTCCAACAGCAGATCAAATCCTAAAGGTTAATTCATTTTTGGGGAAAAAGTTGTATTTTCCCTAAATTGTTATCTATCAATTTCAGTGAACAACCCGAGTTCCTCTGTTTTCTATATTAAACAAAGTTATTTTCATTAATTGGTTTCTCCACATTGAACATAATTTTATGAAAGTCTATCATGTCTCCTTCAACAATAATTTTTCCAGCCTAAAAAGTTTGAACCTCCATGTATTTATAGTCAAGAAAACTAATTTCTCCATTATGGTTCAATACTCTCATCCATGAAGACCTCCTATAGGCTACTTAAATAGATGATTATTGGCATGTTCTACCAAAGCACTTGTTTTTCCCATACTAGTTCAGCAGAATTTCCACTGATTCATGAACACTTTCTTCAAATTACACATGCCAACACTAAAAAGACATCTCAACCCACCCCATCTTTTTATAAGTCTTTAAATCCATATTTTCTAGCTCTACTACAACCTTTCTACAATATTATGTTCCTGTCATTCCACATTTTAAAAAGATATACCAGATATTTCTAAGATTCCTAAACATTTGTGTTTGCATTTTCCATAATTATAGCACACCAAAAAGTGTTCAAATGGTTGTGACTTCCATAGTCAAATAGTTTTATAGGCTGAAAGGAGAAGAGGTGGGGTACTCTGAAGTAAGAAGTACCAGCTCTCACCGGAGATAGTCACTCTTTATTACTAGTAACCATCAACATGCAAATGGGCACAATCCCTACATGGCTTCCTCATTTCAGAAAAAAATCAATTTATTTAAATATTAGATATATACCCCATCTTTTTCTGTAAAAAAATTTTAAAGGGCCTAACATCATTCTCCTCCTCCTGCTCTCAGTTTTATCCTCACAACACCACCACTGTGAGATAGGTTTGGCTGAGAATTTGTGACAAGGTCAAAGTCGTCCAGTTGGCTCCATGGCTGAATGGGGACTAGAATCCAGGTCACCTAAGACTCAGTCCTGGGCTCTTAACCACTATACCACACTGACTCTCATACCTAACTAACTAATCTACATACATGCCAAAAACCTTCAAGCCAGCATTTAAAAAAAACTTTTCATAAACTCTTGAGAACTTTCTTGTGCAGTTATTTTTGATGAATTCAGTATTTTTATTTTTATTTATTATCAGAATAATTTATTCCACAGCATAGTATACCCTCTTATTAAGATAGAATCAGATATGAAATTCTGTTGTTCTATCACTGTTTGGGAAGATCCTTCTTCAGTTCATTTTTTTTACAGTTTTGAACAGTGTCACCTAATTTGTCTACCATAAATATATACATCATCAGATTTTATGGACAAATTAGAAAACATACCCAATTGCTTATCAGTTAGAAAGCACCAGCCTAAGCAAACTATGTTATTCCAATTGTTCTTTGGAATATGACAATGATTAGCTTTATTTGTGTTCTCTGTTTCCTGGAAGCTTGTAATTTGTGAGAAGTTTAGTTCCTTGTTCTAGAGATATGATTTACCAACTCATTTGAACCAACAGTTATCCTCACATATGTAACACCTGTGCATTTCTCCCATCAAAAAGCTCAACTGACTCTGCTAGCCCTTTAAAATCAGGGCAATGAAGCAGAGTAATTCTGCATGATTTTAAGGTTTGTGGTGATAATCCCAACTGCCTAAACTGTGTGTCAAGGGGAGGGAGAATGGGCCTACCACCACTGAGGAAAGCAGCCTGGAGTACCCTGAGGGAGGCTAAAGGGATGACAAGAAGTGCTGGGGTGTACATGGCTGTTAGCATTTCTAAGGTTTGGGGATATATGGGTATTTTGCCTGAGGATTTCAGGTGAAGATGTGTTGTCAGGGTGTATTTGCATGGCTTGAGGAGATTACTACTTGGATGTGCACACTCAGGATGTTTCTCTACATATCACCAGATTTCATTTGCAAAAAAATAGCTATTGGGATTAGAATCAGCTTCAGCTTATACTCAGTTTCTTGGACTCAACCTCTTCAGTTTGCTGCTGCTTTTTTCCCCCTGGTAAATTTGGTTGTGTCACATGATCTGGCATTTGATGCAGAAATTCAATTTTTCCCTTGTACTCAATTTCCTGGGAATGTAAATAACTAGCAAGGCCCTTGCGGCAGACATTTTGTGTTGGCACCCACAAAATTCTTCTCAAGCATGAATGTATGTTTTCATACTATATATATATATATATATATATATCAATGTATGCATTCGTCTATATGTACTGCACCATGCAGAAAATTTAACAATCAGGAACTGAGGGGTGTGGGTACAGGGGTTTCATAAAAACACTGTAGTTCTGTGCAGACAATATTGTCATTATTACCATAGTGACAGCACTGAACTAGCATACAGGATGTTCATTAGTTTCAGTTGGAAATCAAATGTAGTACATATTTTAAAAAACTGCATGTAGTCAGGAAACAAATGCACACCCTGTCCCATGATTATGGTTAAACACCTGACAGTTCTAGGCCAGGTACTTTACTGAAACATTTGGGAAGTTCAAATCCTCCCTTTTACACAGCACAGCAACTCAGCTTACAAAGCTGTGTTTGCATGACTCTGATGGAGACTGCTTCATTAAGGCAAAATACATCTAGCTACAAAGCAACGATTTAAGAACACGATTCTAAAATAGAAAATGAAATATCGTTTAACGATCCCACATTCCAAGTGTACTGCACCTACAAAGGTGTCACTACTGTAAAAAAGATTTGCAGCCCTATCAACCCAACTGGCATCAATATTCTTTAACAAAACTGAACAGTTTCCCCCCGCACCCGTCAGTAAAGCCACCCCAATATCCTGCGAGGTAAATAGGCTCGGGAACCCGACACGGTGTTTCACAACAGGAAAAACAAGGGCCGCCATAAATGCGGCACCTGAAATCCGAGATCACCCGCAGCGAGAGATCCTGTAGGCGCGGCCGTCCGCACCAGATAAGAAGCAGGGAGAAAGCCCAAGTTATCTCGGCCAGAAGAGGAAAGCGGATAAACCCCCCTCCTCTCCCTCCAGAGTCCAAGCAGAAGCAACTCGGCAACCCCCATCCCTGTTTAAGATATGCACGCACACACGGGTCACAAGGACGCCCAGTCACACAGCCACCCGGCGACCAGGAGTGCTCACCGCTAAATCTTGGGGTACAGCCCCACTCATGGCCCGCACGGTTCCGCTTCTCCAGGCCCGGGAGGGTAGTGCAGGCCCAGGCTCCGTCCCCGCAGTCTCACTCTCGCCCGTCCCCGCTACCAACAACAGCAGGAGCCGCTTCCCCACCGGGGAGGCCGTCGCGTCCGCCATCCCCGCTGGGAAGGAGCCGTCTCCGCCGCGTCCTCGAACGCAACAGCCGCCACGGACCCCGAGCAAGCCAGCGACAGCCCTACGTTGGGCCCCCCGAACACAGCCCGCCCTGATCCCGGCGTTCCCCGCGCCTGCCTGCTCTCCGATCCCGGCGTGCCCCGCGCCTGCCAGCCCCGCCCGTTTCGGGTTCCCGGCATGCACTGTACGAGCTTTTATTTATTTACTTCTGCGCTCCCGGGGTGCACTGCGGCTATTACGCTCTTGCCCCGCACATCCATCCCCAGCTTTTTCTGTAGGGGGCAGTGCGGAGGCTCCTGTCATCCGCTGCGTTTCACGCCTCGAAGAACAAGAACACAAGAGCGACAGTGCTGGACAAGGCCAAAGGCCTGCCTTGGCCAGCGGCCTGTTCCCACGGTGGCCAACCAAATACTTACGGAAAGCCCGACAGGCAGGGTCACGAACTCCTGCTCAGGGTTCCGGACAACTGGCGTTGAGGCAGCTCCCGGCGGTAATATATGGCTAAGCCGTCACAACTTAGCCTTAGGCTCCATGAAGTGCCTGCCCATAGTGCAAGAGTCTCCTCAGAAGGCCCATTTCGGGCAGATAGGAATACTTTTCTCATCTGTGGGCAAAGTTCGGTTGAATTCACCTTTTCTTGGTTGAGCTATTTTCCATTTCGTTTAATGAGCATTCACTTAAGTTATTTCACTGAATGAAAGTTAAGCTCTGCTTTCACAGGTAGCTTTGTTAACAAGGCTGCAGAACAGGCTACAACTATAAATATAACTGAGGAACTTTCTGCTATTTCAAATTGCAAATTGCAACTCAATATACAATTACCGCACTATAAAAGCTATTCTTGTTAAAGAGCTCCCTCACTCCATTTTTGACAAGGCATTTGAGCAAAGTTGAACCCCCTGCCCTGATCCCCTCACTGCCAGAATGGAAACAATAGTATTGGCTGATTTTCCAAGAGCACATAGATATCTTAGAGAGGGGAGAAAGGCGGCATTTTGTCTAGTGGCTGAAAATGGCCATCTAGCTAAAAGGCACAAAACAACGCATGGTAGTGATGGGGACAGCTGCTGCTGCACCTTGCTCTGACCACTGTCCATGTTTGGAGACTTGCACCTATCTACTATGGAGGCCATTGGACTGCAGCATCAAGACAGTAGTTACAGACTATACAATTCCCTTGCGGTCATTGACATAACATTTAGATTTTCAGACAACCTAAGTAAGAACATACTTCTATCTAAGGCATGCCTTAAGAGCATTACCTAGATTCAGCTTGCCCCTACCCAAGGCTTACCAGGTTTCACATCAAGTGTACCAACTACACAGATAGGCAAACAGTTAAGAGAAAACTTGACAACATGTTACTCTATAGTAATAGCCAAATACACCAACATAATGAAACAAGACTCATGTGACCATAAAGGAAATATTTATTAAAATATATTCAAGAAACTGTCAAACTTCTAACAAAAGCAAGGAGAGAGTTGAAGGGAGAAACATCTGTACAGGAAACATTGTTGGAAATGCTTTTACATGCTTTATTGTTTAAGTTTCACAGTTTAGTTATTGTCTACAAAAATATATTTCTGAAACTCTGAGTCCTCTATAAAAAAGCTGGTCAGCAACAGCAAACCTGACAAGCAGAATATACCTTAGGACAGAGTGAGCTCCTCCTGCAGATAAGCTTGGCATGACCCAGGGCACTCCTGCCTCAACGTTAGGAAAAGACGTTCTTTGGGATTAAGCTCCACTTTAATTCTAAAGGAAGGCAATTTAAACATGAGTTTTTAGTTCTCTCATTTTGTTCTTCCCCCAGCATGCATAAAACTTGGAGCAAGGAGTTGCTCATCTTTACATGTGAGAAAGGGGTCACTGAACCAGTGTTTGGTGTCAGGCAAGAAACTCTGCTTTTAGCATTTATACCCAAGATCTATCCTGTTCTTGTGGCAACTGCTAGTTCTAACCAACAATATACCATGATGTGCCACTGGAGCACTTTCATCAACACCTGGCCAATCTTGCATTCTGAAACAGAAGCTTGATCAACTACAGAGTCTCAAACCTGATCTGGACCCTCAAGTAATGCCACTCTGGTAATTTCAAAGTTATTTTAATTCCCAAATGTAGGTCTAAGTAATACTGGTTATTTTTGAGGAATTAAGGCTTAAACCATGTTCCACCAGCATTCAGAGACAGATGCAACCCTACCATTGTTAAGAATGTATTTCTATTATGCCAACCAGCATGATTTCTAAATTAAACAAGAGGCTCAGTGCTAGCCAGCTGGGATCTTCCCAAATTCTCTCCTTATGGAGGTTTTACCTGATAAATCTTTAGAGGTATTCATGTGTAAAAAATATCTTGCTTACTAATATACGGCTGTCACCTTTAATTAAATGTATCTTGCACTACTCCCTGAAATAGGCAAGATGAACAGAATCCGTGCAATCTCACAGCTGGGAACTTTGATCAGAAATATTATAAACAAGATAGGAATTGCCAGCAGCAAGTTGAGGGGGGAAACTGCTGATTTACTCCATTTATAATAAAATATGACACTGGGGCAATTGGTTTCCTGGTTCTCTACAATAGGAATGCTCAGCCCATGGGATGCCAGAACTTGTGGCAGTAATAAAACCACAGTAATATTTTCTGGGTTGCAACAGGCCTGTGAAATACATCAGTATCTCCTAGTAGGGTAAGAACCATGGTTAGTAGAGAAGCTTACTTCCTCATACCCAGGGTGTGTATTCAGCACCATGCAAGTATAGGCTCTGTATTCAAACATGATATCCTGAGAATCTCAGCTTTCATTTTAAAAAAATAATATACTGGCTTTTTTGGTTGTATTCAACAGCTTCTAATGTATGATCAATATCTAATCAAGTTCAAGAAACTAAAAGGTCATGTGCTGCGGCCTCAGGGACCTCCAGAGTTCTCTGCTTATGGTGACTATTTCCTAACCCTGATCTCCATGCCCTTGTCACCATACATTTCTTTCCCATGTTAGCCACAGCAAAACATTTCAAATACGGAAGTTTATTGGAAGGAGAAATGTTTATTTTTATGTGGCACCTAAGAAAGTTTAACATTTTAATGGTGTAAGTTGTCATGGACAACATTCCACTTTATTAAATTCATGAATCCTAAGTGGACATGCATATACACACAGAAATCAATGTAGGATGACCTTTCATGCTCCTTATGTTCACAAAAGCATATGCTAGTAGATTTGTTAGTCTTTAAGTTGCCACAAGAGTCTGTTGCTTTTACTGCAGCAAATTAACATGGCTATCCCTCTGAAAACTATTCATTATGTATCAGGATTTGGGGTTTAGTGGGATGGGGAGTTAGTGGAGAATACACACAGCCCTGAATTACCCTCTGGAGTAGCACCTGGTATTATGGCTGAAGTGCATTAAAATGTGCTAGCATTAGTAGATTAGAGATTTTTCCCCCAGAAGGGGATTCAGAAGGGTAATACAGGCAGCCCACTTACAGTGGCTAGTTTACCCACTAGGGAGTACAACTTTTCAATTGCTAGTGCAGACAAAGCAATGCAGGCCCTTGGCTAGGGTTAACAGATCAGAAACAGGCAATGGGATCAATAGGTTGTATCTCCTTTCACAAACACATTCCTTTTGCCCTCTTTACTCTGGTTCAGTGTGTTCTGGCCAATGTTAACAAAGACCTGGGGGCACCCTAAACTGAGATAGGAAGATATAGGAAATTCAAAGAAAAAGAAAAGGGATGAGACTGAGGGAATGTGCTGTCTCACAGCCTACTCCCAATCCTGTAACCCTAGTAAAGAGGCAGCATTATGTTATGCCTGCAATAGCACAAATGATACCTACTTCCAGTTTTTGCGTTGGTTAGAGCATATTAGTACACAGATTATACAAAAAAGCTGAAGCTGTTGCTTTTGCTCCAAATTAAAGCTCTTCGGAGCTGAAGGCTTTACTCAAAGGCTCCCCACACTGTCACACATTTAGCACTGACATCTGTTAGTATGCATCCCCCCATGCATATAGTGCTAAAAACCCTGAGCAACCCAAGAGGTATGTGAATTTTAAACATGTAGTCATAATCATCCAAGAGATTCCAAGAGATTATAAAGCTATTGTGCCTCCCCCACTATCAGAGCCTACACTACAAGCACTTCCAACTCACATTCTAACAGAGCACATACTATCAGGGAACCATATACCATCTCAAGGAAAGAACCAAATCTGAACAATACAAAAATTAGATTTCCATCTTTCTCAGCTCCTCCCTCATTTTAAAGGGACTACTACATACCTTTCTGTTAGCACTTGGCATTGGGAAAACCCCTGCCGCAACACATGCAAGACAGTCTGGACAACAATAGGAAGCTTGGGAACAGCCTAACCTATTACAATTTTCAGTTGTCAGGCAAGATCTAAAGTTGGGGTTTCTACTCTATGCAATTTCCACCTTGCCTAGAAGGCATTTTTGTTTGGAAAAGGGAAAGATGGATTCTAATCAGGACAAAGAATTCTCATTCTTTCTTCCCAACATTCCGTTCTCTGCTGCTTAGATAGGTTAGTTAAAAGCCATAACTTCTCCATGGTCAAAAAGTACTGTGAAGTCCAAGCAAAATGACAAGGCTACCTTCTAACAATAATAAATATTTTGTTACATGATGGAGTATGTGCTCTTTGCACAATGTGCCAGGGAATAAGCAATAAACACCCACCCACCCATAAAAGACAATTTACAACCCTAGATCTGTCTCTAAAAGGGTTTAAATGCCTCCTTTAAAACATATCCAAGTTAGAAACTTTCAATATATGACTTAGTTTTTCAGAAACAATCTGCGTAGCTATCTGCAGGCTCTGAGAATGGATTTTGTTGGTTTTTGTTTCTTGCAGAACAAGGACTCAATTCAGAGAAAAGAGTTGAAGTAAAGAATGATTCAGCACACACCTGGGACATTTCACACTAGACAAAATCTGAGGGAACAATCCTAGCTTGGCCTTTGATGTGTGTTAAAAGACAGGTCAAAGAGACTTAGGTCCTAAATTAAATTCTAGGATTTCAGCATAATCATCTTCTTGTAGCAGTTGCACTACTAGTGTGCAAAGAACAGGCATTTACAATAACCTGAAGCCTTGCATTCTGAAATTCTCCTATCTCCCTATGTGGAGCTGAGTCCTCATTCCCTGAGCTGGGACCAAATCTCAGTTGAACCTTTCTTCCTGCAACTTCACAAGCATCTCTGCTGTCAAAACAATTCAACTGTTTCTATGCACATGTTTTGAACACAAAACAGATTCCAGGCGGAATTTCAAATTCACTCTGACTTGTGTAATTATTTACCCTCAGTCCCCTGGGAGCAAATCACCCACCAATCACATCAGATAATGGCATGCAGGCAGGATCAAAGTAGTAAGCGCCCACAACTGAGGAAGGGCACCCCATCTTCCTACCAAGCAATTCACATGCACAGCCTCCCGTGCTCCCCATTACAATGTTGTCAATTGTACCTGAGACTTAGTTGATCTTTAACCTAAGAAACCACCTTAAAAATCCACACCAGCCTTGGAATCACTGGAGTTTTCAGTGTTCAGCCAGGTACTGTTCTCCTGCATATCACACAGGTGCATGAGGACTTGCATGTTAAAGCTAAACATTACCAAGAGGATGAAAAAAAATCACTGCTTCATTACCCCAGACAAGGAAAGAAATTCACCAAGAGATTTAAACTAAATCTGTTATAAAATACCTGTTTAAAGGCAAGAGATAGAATTTGCCAACAATGAAATGCATTCTCCTGTCCTGTGTGAACAGGAAACAGTCCATGGGGGTCGTAATTATGTCCTAAAACAGGAGATATCCCCTGCTTTCTTGTGAGGGATGAAAAGGACAACAAAGATGCTACTGGTCAGTGGAGATTTCTCTGTCTGGCTCCAGTTTGCTTGACTCTCCTGGAGAAGGGGTATGTGGTGCAGAATGAGACACAGAAGGAATGCCGTGAGCTACAATCCCCTCTACTGGTGGCTCTGGTAGCCCAGAGGTTGCTACTCCCACAACTCCAGGAGGAAACCTGTCACAAAAAAAGAGAATACAGGTTGTTCAGAAATGGAGATAAGTGTTTAACTGTTTTGTTTCAAACACTGAGGGCCCAAAGGGGCTAACAAAAAAGAAAAATGTACACCTTTACTGCATGCTTGTGCCTGAGGAGGATTACACTGTAAATATGGTGTGCTGGCAAACTGGCAGATACTTTGCCACTAGCTGAAAGTAAAGTAGCTTTTTGTCTATTTATATGAGAAGGCAGGATTGAAATTGGTACCATATGATTGGGGAATAACTTGAGCATTCCAAAGATGCCATTGGTTCAAAGTTTGAAAAGAGGTGGGGTGACAGAATGGTTGTCCGTACAAAGCTGACTGGCTGAAGCATTCTGAGTGGAACAAATACAAGGAGCTGTCTGGCATGCGGATTTGCCTGAGGAAAAGTTGTCAAGATGCATCAATATGAGAGGCTGAGAAGCTGGTATAAGACATCAGCTAGGAAGTGATCCTGGCAACATGTGAGGCAGAAACTGGAGAAGGTCTGGAAGTGAGAAGACTCCTGGAACAGACTTCAGAAGAAATTACAGACGCTTGGGTGACAGCTGGTGGTGTTGATCTAAGGGCTAAGCAGCTGCAAGACCATAGTGAAGGCTTCAGAAGCCTAGCAAACAGCTTTGAAGGTTCCAAAAGGAACTAAAACCTGACCAGAGAGGACTCCTTTCACATCCCCACTGCTGCAAGCCTGACAAAGATTTATTATTAGATAATGATTGGATGATGATGATGTTATTTATATTTCACCTTTTTCTTATGAACTCAAAGCAACTTACATCATTTTTCTCTTGCCACTCTCAATATTATCCCCACAACAACCCTGTGAGGTAGCTTGGGCTGAGAGTTTGTGACCGGGCCAGTCACCCAGTTGGCTTCATGGTCAAGTGGGGAATAGAACCCAGGATGCCTGAGTCCCAATTCTGCACTCTTAACCACTACACCATAACACATTTAATGTGCTATTGTTCTATTTCATTAATATGGATATTAAAATAGTAACAGTTATTACAAAACTGATTTGAGTAAATCAAGTGCAACATTTTAAACATAGACAGGGAACTAATAACCTTAGATTATTTGTTGGTTTGATAGCTTTAAATATTGACAAAACACCTTTCCCATAGAATTTTTGAAGCTGGCTAGATTTTTATAATCCCGGCAGCTAGAGTTATCACTAGTGATCTCCTTTCTGCTTTGTTTGGTACCAGACAGGGATGCCCACTTTTTCTATTTATATTTAATATGGATTATTAAATTTAATGATATTATTATAAACTATTAATTTAAAAATCATTATACCAAACACTTTTTATTATTTTTCTCAAAATTCCTGCGATCTGTTCCAGCTTTAATGCAGATGATCAATCTTTTTGGTGATTTGTTTTGCTGTTCAGCTAACTGGTCAAGGTCTGAACTGATGATGATTGGAAATACTGTATTTCACAGTGTATTAAGTAACTGGCCATTTTGATGGTGCTCAAATTCTATTTTCAAAAATATATCCCAAACGATCAAGCTATACGTGAATAAATTGCTTAATGAGATCTCATGCAATATAGATAAATGGGCATCTTTAAAGTTGAGTTTGTGGGATACAGTAAATGCATTTAAGATGAATATTGTATCTCAGATTTTTTTATGGTATCCATGGGATTGCTCTACCTATCCTTTGCAAAAACACAATGCTTTGTTTCATAAATTTTAGGGAGGGGTCCTTCCTGCCACAAATATCCTTTGAAAAAATACAAGTTTCAGTTGAAGAAGATGGGTTCAGTTTTCTGGATCTTACTTATTATCATTGCGTCTGTTTTCTTAACCTGCATTAAATTTTGGTGTGGTACCTTTCCCCAAGTAGATGGCATTAGATTCTCAGTACATGGATAGGGTTGCTCACACAGTAATGGCTGTTACAGACATGTGGTGTATAACATCAATTATTTAAGACCGTTGGCATGGTCTATAAATGCAATAAATAAATAATTTTTGCCCATTTTCTCATTTTATGTGGAAATCCAGATTTATAAATTGGTACATAAATGTTTACATAAAATTTGTTTTATGCCAGCAAATTTGGAAAACTCAACAGTGGCCACAGGGTTGGAAAAGGTCAGTTTACATTTCAATCCCAAAGAAGGGTGATGCCAAAGAATGTTCTGGTCACCCAACCTAAAAAAGGATATCCTTGAGTCCTACAGAGAAGGGCAATGAAAAGTATCAGGGGACTGGAGCAGATCCCCTATAAGAAGTCACTACAACAACTTCCCATAACATTTGAGCCCAAGGTCATCCTATGAATCTAATTGGTGGGAGGTTTAGGACAGATAAAAAGAAGTACTTCTGCATACAACGTAAACTTAAAGTATGGAATTTGCTGCAGTGGGAAGCGGTGATGGCCACCAAACTGGATGGCTTCAAAAGGGGATTCGGCAGATAAATGAGAGAGAATGTTATCAGTGGCTTGTTGGTTATGTGATATCTCCTTTAGCAGAGGTGGCATTCCTGCATTCACTAGTTGCTGAGGAGCTTGGGTAGGCCATGGTCTTGTACCCATCCTTGAGGGAACCCATGGGCAGCTGGTTGGCCACGGTATATACCAAGTGCTGGGCTAGATGGACCTTTGGTCTGATTCAGTAAGGCTTGATACACACACATACTTCACATGCATGGACTAAAAGTGATATATTCAAATATATGTAGTTATTTTTATGGTGTTTAAAGAAAGAATTTAGAAAAAAGAATTATGGGGAAAATGCACATGTTTCACCTGTAAGCTGTAGCTCCATTAAGTTCTGGATGTACAGCTGCGGGATCAATACTGGACCACTGAGCTGCTAAAAGCAAGTACTCCTTATTAACACAGTTCCTCAAATTATCAGGTATGTGACCTATGGCAAAATAAAGAAATACAGAGATAGATGATACCAGTGCCAACACTTACATCCCTAAAAGGCACAAGGAAGGGCCCGAATTGCCTCTCTACTTTTAAGACAGGCCTGAAGGATGCAAGAAAAATCCAAACAGCAGAAATTCATATTGACACTAAATTGTTCAGTACAAACAATTATTGCTCATTTCCTCACCGACATGAGGTTCATGAAGGAATTCCTTCAATTGCATTCTCTAGGTGCACGAGAGAGGGCGGAGGGAAAGAGGGGCGGAGGGAGGGAGAGAGGGAGGATACATGCATGTGAGGAGTGCCCTTCCTACTTTTTACTTTGGATCTACACACCATTGGCATGTTGTCCCAAACAAATTAGCCACTGGGAATGTAGGTCTGACTGAGAAAGGGTCCCTAATCTTAGTCTACTCTAAATGGGCTAAACATTGAAGAAGTAATCCAGTGGCTTCAATTACAGGGAGAACTCCATTACCACTGCCCTTCATGCCAAAACAATTAAAATGAATTCCTGACATACAGACCCATCCCTTTTTTCCAAGTAGGGCCACCTTGGAAGCAACTAACAATTGCTTTTTCAATTACCTGTGATGGCTCTTCGGATCTCCTTAGCTGCATCCTCTCTGGACTCAATGGAAGCCTGTTCACTATACCAGGCTGTGTGAGGAGTACAGATCACATTGGGAGCATCTTTCAGGGGCCCATTTGCAAAACTGTAGAGAAACACATTTTTTAAAGTATTATTATGAACTCCAGCAGCCCCAAGACCAAGAGAGAGTCCTACTGAAACATGCTACTAGATGGGGCGTAAGATACTGAAATAATTACCTGAAAGGCTCTGACTCATGCACATCCAGTGCTGCTCCTCTAATCCTTCCCTCCTTTAGGGCTTGAGCTAGGGCTTTCTCTTCCACCAGACCTCCGCGAGCTGTATTCACTAGGAAGCAGCCTTGACGCATCTGTAGCGAAACGTAGCAGGGACTACTGAGCTTTAGTAATTTGCTTGAGTCTAAATAGCACTCTGGAAATGACTGTTTGGAAACTTAATGTGCTGCACAGTTTAATGGTGATTATGCCAGTCAAGGAAGAACAAAGCAGTACTCTTCTAAGCTCTCTCTCCAGGGTCTTAGGGACTAGAAACATAATCCTATCTCCTGGCTTCAAGCACCAGATATGTCCTTGCCTTGTGACACTCTCAATTTGGGAAAAAGTACAACAATGCCAATGACAGAGAAAGTCAAGGGAAGGCAAGGATAAAAATGCTATAATCCAGAATGGAGGGCCAACAGAAAAGGACAGCTAGAACACAGGAGCATTGAGAGGAGATAAAATCTGGGAAGAGACCTGCTATAACAAATCCCAGTACCCATTTTCTCAAGTTTTAGGTTGAGCTCAGTTATAGATGATCTCCAAAAACAGGACAATGGCCAGGGCTGATACCATTCAGGCTCTGAACAATCTCATGTATAATCTGTCATTCAACAAGCAATCAATATAAATCCATATAGGGCAGTTTACACACAACCCACCCTTTAAAAACTTTATCTTACACTGTCAAGCAAGGCTTAGAGTAAAGTCAGAACATCTGAATCACAAACAAGCAGAAGAAAAGTTTGTAGATAAATAATCTGTCATACTTTTGACCTCCATGTGGTCTGGACACTGAGCACAAGGCAGAGAAATGTCACTTAAACTCAACATTAATATCTGAAGCATTTTCTTTCAAAGACTGCATCAGCTAAAGCAACAACATTGATTCTATAGGGCTGGGGTGGGCAATTTATGGATCTCCAGATGTTTTGGCCTACAACTCCCATCAGACTAAGTTAACATAGTCTGGAACATCTGGAAAAACACAAGTTGCCAACTCAGTTGTAAACACCCGCTGAAAGTGTAGAGGGTAGGAGCTCATTGCTCTTCCCTCAGAATCCTCTAAGACAGCAAGAGTGAGCAACGTGTGGCTCTTTGGATGATTTGGTCTACAATATTAATCATCCCTTGGCACCAAAGCCAATATAAGTGATCATCAGAATTATAGGCCAAAACTTCTGGAGAACTGCAAGTTGCCTGCTCCGCTAAGGCAGTTAGGATCTTACTTACATGGTGGTCTGCCAGATGTCTTAGAGAGAGGACTGCGGAGAGGGCTCTCCTAAAATTGAGACAGTGCCATGCTTTCTCCCTGAGTGATTAGGACTAGGGTAGGAAGCAGCTCTTTCTCCTTATGAATCTGGGAGGAGAGATCAAGCTGTACCACAATACTATTCATGCAAAAGGTGCAGCTTCCTGCAGCTTTTCTTCAGCAAGCAGGGAGAGAAGTGCAAGCACCAGATCCACACCATCTGTGCTTTCCTGAAACTCTCACAGACGCAACTTGTACTCTCAGCACAATGCAAAGCTGCACCTGTTTAATGGTGAAGTCATTGATGAGGTGATGGTTATGCTCGTTTAGACTGCAGTGCAACGTGATGCAGTCACTGTGCATCAGGAGATCTTGCAAGGTGGTCATCCGCTGCAATCCCAGAGAACGCTCCACTCCATCAGGCAGATATGGATCATAGAAAATCACATTGAAGCCAAAGGGTTTTGCACGCAGGGCAACTGCTTGCCCAACACGACCTTAAAGAAAGAAAATGTGCTCATCTTAATATATCACTTTCTTAACAGGAAGCTAATTACTGCAGGAGACTTCATAGAATAGAAGAGCTGGAAGGGGCCATGAAGGCCATCAAGTCCAAGCCCCTGCTGTTGCAGGACACCATGTTACACCATCCCACTCAGATGGCTGTCCAGTTTCTTTTTGAATGTCTCTAGTGTGGGAGAGCCCGCCATCTCTCTGGGCAGCTGGTTCCACTGTTGTATTGCTCTGACAATGAGGAAGCTTTTCCTGATGTCCAGCCTGAATCAGGGTTGTCACAACTTGAATTGATTATTCCATGTCCTACATTCTGCCATTAGCAAGAAGAGATTTTGACCTTCCCATTTGTCACAGCCTTTGAGGTACTTATAGAGGGATATCATGGCCCCACCTTCAGTCTTCTCTTCTCAAGGCTGAACATGCCCAGTTTGAAGTATCCAAGAAGCACAGCCTATATAAACCTCGTACCCTTTCTTTTAGGAATAGGAAGATGGGACCGTCTATCTGAAGCCCCCAAGGCAGCATACAAAACTGTCTCTGGGAACTCACAAGCTGCTTGCTTGAGCTCATTCTTTTGGAAGGGGGCTGATCATGGAGTACCTGCAAATGTGTTGTGGGAGGAGTCTGCATGAAGAAAATCCCTTGTATGTTCAGCTAAAGGATTTCAGCAGGTTAGAGCTTCAGCCTGAGACTCAAAGAACCATGACCAATTAAACTTCCCAATTTACAAAAAAGCCCACTGGGCTGCCTCAATCTAGAGCAGCTATTTAAAACAGACCCGGCCTTGTCAATAACAATCAGTAAGCCAAAGCCAAACCAGTATCAGAGAAACTGTCAGGAGCTTTGATCCCGATCTTGTCCTAAGCTTTTTTTTAAGTCTAAAATCCTCTGATATGGTGAAGATTTGATGTAACATGAGCACTTAGGAAAGCCTGGGTGCTGTGATAGCCTCTTGTGCTGTGATAGCCTCTCCAGTCATGGTTTCCAGGGAAAGAACAAGCCCCAGCTTGTGACTTCAGATGAAATGATTTGCCTCAGACAATGACAGGAAGGAGGAAATAACCATACGTCAAGTGGAGAGAGAGACTGCAAAGCCCTTTGACTGCCTGCCCACATAGTGCTGAGCAGTTAAGCATGAATTAACATGGCAGCTCTAGAAACAGCCTTTTCTTACCAAGACCAATGATGCCCAGAGTCTCACCACGGATACGCACAGCACCTCCAGCCACCTCTCTGATCTGCTCCATACTGGAGGCTCTGTTTCCTTCCCTCATGGCCTGGTGCAGCCAAGTAACCCGACGATAAAGGTTGAGGATGTGGCAGAGGGTAGAATCTGCTGTCTCTTCCACAGAAGAAGAAGGGATGTTGCACACTGCTATTCCTAGGGAGAAAGGGGAAAGAGGATAGTAATTTTTTTAATTAAAAAAAAAAAATTCTTTGCTTCAGAGCAAAAAATGCAAGCCAACATTGAGCTGGCCCCTACACATTATCTGGCATTTTTATACCGGCTCAACCCAGAATAGGAAACCCTATTCTGTTGATAGCCACATTTCCTTGAAGGTAATCCATTGTTGCTGTTATCATTGTATTTATATTCCACCTTTTTTCCTGCAAGTAGCACAAGGCTGTTTTCATATTATTCTATATTATTCTCACAACAGCCATTAAGTAGCTTAGGGTACGAGTCGGTGACTGGGCCAAAGTCATCCAGGATACTTCATAGCTGAATGGTGACTGAACCTAGAACTCCAATGTCCCAGTCCAACACTCTAACCGTTATGCCAACTTCTGAGGGCCACATGCCAATGGGGGTCCAAGTCCAAAGTTGATGAGGCCAGCTGTTTACTTTTTCCTTTTGCCATCTCTTTTATGTTTTCATTTGGACAACCCTGTATCTTTCTCCCCATGCCCCATCAACCTGCCTGGAGAAGAGGCATATTGGTCTTACCCGATTTCTGAACTGATCGCTTGTAGAGGGCTTTTAAAGGTATATTGCACAGATCTGGGTGATTAGTCTACGCAAATATTGGCAAAGGCTGAGCTAGTTGTCTTCTCAGTCCTGCTACTAAAGCATGAAATAACCCAGGAGGACCTTCTACATGCAAAGCCTGTGCTCTACCAGAGTGGAACAATATGCGTTTTGTAATTAACTATTCAATTCTTCAGCCAGGGTGCAAAGTTAGTGCACAATAAAAATCAAAAAGAACTGAGCTAATTCATTATACAAGTGTGCTCACTAGGGTTGCAGAATCTAATCACTCACAGACAGTTGGACAATCGGATCAAATGCTTACTACTTTTGAATTGTATATAAATATGTATTCTATGCTTATGTTTACTTAATTATGTGTACTTTGCTTGGTTACTATGTACACTTAGTTAGTCCTACCTACTTGAGCCAAAACATGCTTGTGTGAAAATACGTCTTAATGAAATCAGTAAGAATTACTTCAAAATAAGAACACTTAGGTCCAGAGAATCATACCGTCATTTTGTAAGCCAACACAACAATAAATAATAATGGTCTGTAAAAACTATTTATAGAGGACAAAGGTGTTTTGTTTATTATTACTTGTGGTAACTGAATGAGTTATAAGCCCTTTGTCCCATCTGGTCTTGGACAAATGACTATTTCTCAGCTTCAATTATTTATTTCTATAATAAAAACAGGTTTTATGAGAATATCAACTTTGTTAAAAAGTGATGTTTTGCAAATTTGCCTCTCTTAATAATATATGCATTCCACATGCTTTCCACTTGTTTTTAACTAAGCTCCAGCAAACTGAACACAAAAAGCAGAGGGTGTGCATGTGCACAGGGGGTTTACTCTATGTATACACTGTTTTTTTAAAAAATGTACTGGGATCACTATACCTAATTCTGCAGCTGACTTGATATCCACATTGTCATAGCCACTGCCAATTCGCACAATGACCCGGAGAGCTTTGAACTTCTCCAGGTCCTGGCGTGACAAAGTAATGGTGTGATACATCAGAGCCCCAACAGCTTCATTTAGCACCTGTTGGAACAGAAAACAACAATATAATGTTTACATTAGAACTAGTCAGATCAGGATTCTGCAAAGCTCCTTGCTTGCTCGCTTGCCAGCAGCAAAAACATATCACTCTTCTGATAAGCAACCCTGTCCCATGCCGTGTACCCGACATAAAGATCCCTCCCTTGAGTTCTCTGTGAACTGCAGAGAACTCAGAAGTGGAGGGGAGGAATGATTTCTTCTTCCCTCTATCAAGGCTTTTGAAGAAAAGTGCTTTTTTGCAAAGAACACCTCACTATTTCTACAAAAGCAATGAAATCATTCTTTCCTCCAAGTTCTCTCTTGCATTATTCAGGGTGACCCAAAAAGACAAAAGACATCTCTATCCCTTCCTCCCAGGCTGTTACAGTAAGGACAAATGCTGCAGTTTAGCATGTGTCTTCTGCAAAAGACCAGTGCATCCAAGAAAAGACCACCCCTTCCTTGAAATTTCCTGTAGTTCAAACCAGGTTACATAGGATTTGGAGGAGGGTTGGAAGCAACTATAAATCATGGCTTGTTATTAAAGCAAAAATAAAATTGGCAAATAAGATCCCCAGTTCTAAACTGGAAAAGAGAGATCCCCATTTGTTTGTGCGTTTACCTTCTCATGAATTTCCTGAGTTGACTGTGCATCACAGAAAGCCACTGTGGCCACATCCTTCAAGATAGGCATCTCTACAGTGCAATCCCTGCCATCAAGGAGGGCAACCAGTGGACGGGCTGGCATTGGACCATTGCCAATAGGCGGCCTTATACCTACACAAGGAGAAAAATCTTAAATAAGTGGCAAATATGAGCAACAAAACATGTTTGTCTCAGTCCTAAGCCACTACCACTAAGATCAGATAATGAGAACATTGTAAAAGTCAGGAGAAATGCAGGAAAGGGTCATAGCTCAGTGACAAAACACATGTGCTACATAAAAGTCTCAGATGCAATTCTTTGTAGGTCCAGGTAGATCTGGGAAAAACTTTTTAAATTTGTTAATAAAGTAATACAGTATAGTAACACATTATACACTATGCAATCAAGTACTTTGGGGCCCTATTGCCCTCAGAAAAATCTAATTGCCAACATCTTATGAGTTTGTCTTTTAACTCAAAATGCCTTTCTTTCCTGTTCTGCATATTTTTAGTGGGCTTAGATATGTACTGTTCTCTATATGAAAGATATGTGTGCCTGGCACCAACACTTTATTCCTTTCAGCACCAGGCCAAAACCTTTTTATTTTCCCAACATTTATGTATTTATTTACTTACAGCATTTCTATCCTGTCCTTAACAGCATCTCAGAACAGCTTACAACAAAACTGAACAACCAATAAACAGACAGAAAAGGTACAACCAACTTAATACAATAAAATAAAGTAGAATGCAATAAAATAAAGTAGAATGTGACTAAGCATGACAATAAAAGCAGTTAAAAATTAAATATTAAAATGTTGGGCAAATAAAAAGGTTTTTACCTGGCGCCAAAAAGAATATAGTGTTGGCGCCAGGTGAACCTTTCTGGGGAGCACGTTCCACAGATGGGGTACCACTGCAAAAAAGGCCCTCCTCCAGGTGTTGCTTTCCTAACCTTGTTCAAGGAGGGTTCCTGGAGGAGAGCCTCTGTCTCTAATCTTAAGGGGTGGCGGGGAGGGCATATAGGAAAGAAGACTTTAAGTTTTAATTGTTTTATCTGGGTTTTATCTGAGGATTGATGATGCTGTGCTTCTTATTGTAGTACTGTCCTGAGACTTTAGTGATAGGATGGTATACAAAAAGCTTTTAATGAATGAATGAATGAATGAATGAATGAATGAATATGTATTGCCCACCCGATGACTCAACAGTCTCCCTCTGTGAGCTGACAGAGGTTGTCTCAGCTGCAATGTTGAGATCCCCCAGGTTGGTGGTCATGGGGGATCTCAACATCCATGCTAAGGGTATAACTTTGTGGGGCAACTCAGGCTTTCATGGACTCCATGGCAACCATGTGGCTATCCCAAAATCTTTTTGGCTCAATGCATGTAGCAGGATGCATTCTAGATTTATTTTTTCAGCAGGGCAAGGGTATAGTGATCTGAAGAGAAAGCTTGAATCAATCCCCTTATCATGGTCAAATCACTGCCTGTTAAGATTTAGAGTGTGACTTTTCCCCTCTGCAGGGGTGGGGAACTCATTAAAATGGTCTGCCCCCAGAAGTAGATGGCTCTGGATAATTTCCAGAGGACTCTGGGGAATTTTTCAGCTGAGATGGCAGGTGGTCTTGTCAAATTCTTGGTTGAGCTCTGGAATACAGAGATGACCCGGGTGGATAAGACAATCATTCCTGAACATCCTCTCTGTAGTAGAGTTCATATGGCTCAGTGGTACACCCTATTGCTGAGAGATATGAAACAATTTAGGAGACAGCTTGAGTGCAAATGGAAGAAAACTCCTAGTGAATACAATCAAGCCATTGTCTGTGGTTTCAGTACAATATATGTGGAGGCAGTGAAAGCAGCAAAGAAACAATATCTGATTGCCTCCATTCAATATTATTTGTTGCCCAGCAGAGCTATCCAGGTTCTTATTACATGCTTGGTGTAAAAGAACAGTGTGGGGCTGTCTGAAATCCACGTTAATATATTCACTAGGCACTTGCAGGTCAAAATTTCTGGTATTCACCAGGACTTGGACTCTAACGCTACAGCAGTGTTACAACATAACAGTCTGATCTAGTCATGACGGATGAGGTCCAGTTAGTACAGCTCTAGCTGCTTGGACAGGTTTGTTCAGCCTCATCTGTACTGGATCCTTGCTCCTCCTGGCTAATAAAAGCAGTAGGGAGGGAACTGCTGGCTGGGCCAGGGAGATTATTAATGCTCCTCTATGAAAAGGAGAGGTCCCAGGCCACCGGAGATAAGCGGTGGTGAGACCACTCCTAAAGAAATCCTCCCTGGACCCAGAAGAACACAATAATTTTAGACTGGTGGCAAATATTCCCTACCTGGGCATGGTTCCTGAGTGGGCAGCCAACCAGAGCCAGACACTCTTAGATAAGACTGATTATCTGGATCATTTCAGTTGGGGTTTAGGCCAGGGTATGGCACAGAAACAGTTTTGGTCACCCTGTATGATGACCTACGCCAGGAGACAAGGAGAGTGTGATGCTGTTGGTTCTCCTGGACCTCTCAGCAACTTTTGATACCATCAACCATGGTATCCTTCTGGGCTGAGAATAAGGGACTGTCTGAGCTGGGAATGAGGGGCACATTGCAGTGGTTTCACTCCTAGTTGGACAGTAGGCTCCAGAAGATGGTACTTGGGAGGAAAAGCTCTGTGCCTTGGATTCTCCTGTGCGGGATTCCTTGGGGATCCTTCTTGTTCCCCATGCTGTTTAACATCTACAGTGGTACCTTGGCTCACAAACTTAATCCATTCCAGGACTCTGGTTGTGACCCAAATTGGTTGTGAGCCAAGTTAAATTTCCCCATAAGGTTCAATGCAAATAAGGTTAATCTGTTCTGAAACCATTTTTTAAATCAGAAAAATGTGAAGCAAAGTGACAACAAAGATCACAGCCATCTCCCCACCCCACCCCGAGCACAAGTGCAGCCATCTCCCCGCCCCACCCCCAGCACGAACACGATCACACCCGTCATCCCTGCAGGCGCCCATCATCCCAGAGCACTGGGGGGTGGGGGGAGAGACAGGGGTGATTGCAGGTGCACTGGGGGAGGAAGAGATGGGCACAATCGCGGCCATCTCCCCACTTGGGGGTGGGGTGGGGAGATGGCCGCGATCGTGCTGGTTGAGTGGGGGGGGGAATGGCAGAGATTGCACCCATCTTTCCTGCAGGAACGCGCCTCTGATCACGCACGCCTTCCCTGCACAAAAGCAACTGCGATCGCGGGCATCTCTCCTCTCAGAGTGGAGTGCAGAGATGGCTGCGATCATGGTCACCACCCAGTGTGGAGTTCACGACCCATGTCAAAATTTTTATGAAATTTTTGTTCGTGACCCAATTTGTTCGTGAACCAGGGTGTTCATGCGCCGAGGTACCACTGTACATGAAACTGCTAAATGAGGTCATCCAGAGTTTTGGAGCATGTTGTCACCATTATGCTGATGATACACAGCTCTATCTCTCCTTTTCATCTTCAGCAGGTGAGGCTGTGGATGGGCTGAAGCAGTGCCTGACTGCGACAATGGACTGGATAAAGGCTATGAAACGGAAACTCAATCCAGACAAATTGAATTGTTATGAGTGCTGCTTCTTCTGATCAGATGGAAGGAGTTCAACCTCTCCTAGGCGGGGTTGCACTCCCCCTGAAGGAACCAGCTCATAGTCTAGGGGTGCTCCTTGAGCCATCTTTGTCACTTGAGGCCTAGGTGGCTTCAGTGGCTCAGAGCCAGCTTCCTCCAGCTTCAGTTGCTGGCTCAGCTATAACCCTACCTGGACAAAGATAGGCTGCTAAGAGTGATCTATGTTTTGGTAATCTCTAGATTACTGCAATGTACTCTGTGTGGGGCTGCCTTTGAAGACTATTTGGAAGCTGCAGCTTGTACAAATTGTGGCAGCCAGATTAATAACAGGGATCAGATGTTCTGATCATATAACATCAATTCTGACCACTTGCACTGGCTGCCTATATCCTTCTGCGCTCAATTGAAGGTGGTAATTTAAACTATAAAGCCCTAAACAGCTTGGGTCATGATGGAACACCTCTCCTAAATGTCTTCACGTTCTGGGGCCTATCTCTGACTGCCGCCTCCAAGGGAGGCTTGGTTGGTGGGAACAAGCAGATGGGCGTTTTCAGAGGTAGTCCCACAGTTATGGAATGAGCTCCCCACTGTGGTCCACCTGGCCCCAACCTTACTATATTTTCAGTGCCAGGTAAAGACCATCCTCTACTGCAGGGCATTGAAGCAGCATTTGGAGCCAACTCTGAAAATTTTCCTTATTTATAAGTTATTATTTTATATATATTTTAACCTGTTTAATATGTGGTTTTATATTTTGTATTATGTCTTAATGATGTTTTAATTTTTATAATGTATCTTTTATGGCTTTTTAATATATTTTGTGAACAGCTCAGAGAGCTTTGGCTGTTGTTCCATACAGAAAATAAATAAATGAATAATATTTATTACATTTTTACAATATGTCAAAGAAATTATCTGAGTTTGCATGGTCTTTCCATATTTGTTTCATCAATTTCCCAGAGTGCAATGCTCTGCAGATATATCTCTTGTGATTTTCCAGCATTCTGCAGTTTTCAGTCATGCTCCTACCATCATAACATCAAGTGGTTCTTTGTGTAGTTGATGTTTATTTTCATTGCCAACTTTATAGAAAAGAGTCACTTTGGGATTCAATTATACTAAGCAGTCCAGTTAGTTTACAAATTTTTTCAAACACAGTGTAAACACCCTGTCTGTAACCTTCAAGAGTTGCTATAGATCAGTGTAGTAAGGTAGTATGCCAGTGGTCTGATTTTGTACAAAGCTTTTAAAATTACGTTTTTCATATACACAATTCCGTGAACTGCTTGTCTATACTTGCAGAGAAACTTTGTCTAAATTAATGATTTGTGCAAACTACATAAATGGTTCTGAGGTCTGGCAGTTCTTTCTTAAGATCTTTCATAAAGCATCATATATTAGAAACCAACAACCTATTCACACAAGCATGCTGTTCAAGAGTTATGTGTGGGAAAATAACATTAGAATGAGCACTCTGTTGACTAAATTGTCCTTAGATAAATGAAGCCGGTCTAAAAGCAATTTGGGAGAAAGAGAGAAAAGAGGGAAAAAAGTAATCTGCAGTAGAGCCATTAATTCCCTAATCCCTAGGGGGCAGGATAGTCATGACAACCCATGAAAATGTCTTCTTTATCAGCATCTCATCACTTGTTGGGCCTACACTGGTAAGCAAAGATAACAGGAAATGGTCTACTTCCAGAGAAAAAGAACCTGAAAAATGGTTGCTACAGCAAAGGAAAATGTAAGTACACATTACCTTCTCCTGACTCAAAAAGTAATGATGAAACATCATGATACTAATATGGAAAAGGAGAGATGGGTACAGCAAACATCCCAATATCATTGTGAAAATACACAGTGCAAGGATTCTTAAACCTTGCTATTATAAGCCTCCCTAAATCAAGAAAAAAACCCAAACGATCAATAAATGCTGCACGTCTAAGTTCAGTTACAGATGAGCAAGAGCAAAAAAAATTACTGGCCTTGGAACCAACCAAAATGTGTTGCTTTAAGACTCGCTTCACTCAACTTGTCTGCAGTATGAAGCCAGGGGAAAATCTGCTCATCTCCATAGCTCTAAGCTTAGAGCTGTCAGGGTGGTGTTGCAGGGAGAAAACAGGTACCCATCTCCAAACTGGAGAAAGATGAGAAGCAAGCCCATGTGCCTGTACCTGCGACCTAGCTAGAGATGGGAAATGTGAAAGTGCTTTGGCCTGTTTTGTCTCTGTACCAGACAGGTACTTTGATCTTTGAGCACCCGCCAGCACAAAGACAAGTCCACCTGCTTCTTCCATCTTGGCTCTGGCTTGGAGCTGGAGAGAATAGGTAGAGGCATGTCAGCTCACTACATGGGTGGAAGAAGCCTTGGGCTTATTTCTTCACCAAAGCCTGGCTTTCCTCTGCAGGGCAAAGAAGGCAAGATTATCAACCCCTGCATGAAAGTGAATCCCATTGAACTCAACATACTTATTGCCAAACAAGTATATGCAGGATCATGCTACAATTTGTATAATAGCAATTAACACCAAAGCCAATTAACCATCTCTCAGCATAGGTGCAACTAAATGAAAGGATAATGTTTTTTGAATGAAAATGCCAGAGAGACAAAAAGCTTCTGCAAAACTGCCCCTCTTTAGATACACCAGTCAATATAGTGGGTGGGAGTGAATTCTTAGATCAGTTATAACACACTAGAAAGGAGAAAAAAGGGGCACATGCACCTCCATCAGCAATTTCCTATGTTTCCATCAGATGGCAATTAGGTCTGGGATTATTTGTGCAGTTGTGCATTAGGCCACATGGCAGCATACTCATGGTACCTCCCTAAAAGCCCACATCACACATTTGAGCATCCTGATAAGAAACATGCCACTGTCAGGCAGTTAAAGGAATTTGTCACATTAGGAAACTAGTCTGTGAGAATTAAGAATACCTAATGCCAAAGAATAGCTGACTTAACTGCATAGCCTTTTCCTTTCCAATACTTTCCACTTGCAGCTAACCACATATTGGCTCTTCAACACTTAATGATTCTTCTCTTTTCCACTGTTACTTAAAAAATGTCTGGCAAACAGCCACTTAGCCCACGGAAAGGAGCAGTGTCTTTCAGATGACTAATGTGCCAGATCTACCAGTCAAATCCCACTGTGTCACTTCAGGCAGTCAAGATGATAATTTGTAGAAGAGACCTAAAAAATTTGTGAAAGGGGGTTGCCCCAGGGGTCTCATCAACATTGGCAATGTTTTCCTACTGAGAAAAACATATAGACCAAAGCTGAGAAGAAAGGCTGCCTCTTCAAACTAACCTTCAACTACACAGGCCTCTTGGAGTCTTAAGAAGGCCCTGCAGGTGCCAATCTGTACTTTTTGAAAAGACTGCTTTGTTTCCTACACAATTCATGAAGACCCAGGAAGCACCTGCCAGAGCCATTAATAACGTTCTCTGAAAGGATCCAAGGCCACAGTTCTGAAAGTATAAAATAAGACTTTCACAGCACAAGACAACTACAAAGGTCCCTAGTGTGCTCACTAACCACCCCCCAACAGTTTTTGTACACATTCTGACTCTGCCAAGATGTCAACTTCTCCTGTCCACCTTGCAATATTTAACAGAGAGTGATACACACACCCCTTTCAATTTATTTTATCTCTAGATCCACATATGATGGAGCCTTGGGGAAGAGTTATTATTAGAATCAGTCTATACAAACTGAACACATTTGGAGGCCTTAATAAAGACATTTGGTCTTAGCTCCTCTCCCCCAACCGGAACAGGGTATGACAATACTGTCGGACATTAACGGGTTGTTAAGAGAATGATCAAGATAGCGCACGCAAAGTCCTCTGGGCACTTACGCCGCTCGACACGACTAGAAGCAAGGGGCAGCTCTTAGGCTTTAGAAGGGAGCGCGGGACTGGTACCGTAGCAGGCCAGGCGGTAGTTTTTGGACGGCTGGCGGCAAGTTCCAGGATGCCGGCGTTCAAGGGAAGGCGCAGCTCCGGCCTTTCTTGTAACAGAGGGGCGGGGGCGACACCTTTCACCCGCAGCCGTCTGTCAAGGCAGAGCCGCGTGGAGGGAAACTCTCCGCACGAGGTCCGGATCCTAGCGCAGCCTTCCATGAAAGAGACCTCGCCTCCGCTCAGCGATCCCTCCCTACCCCCCAGGGCGTTACCTTCGCAAATGCGGTCCAACCTCTGGCGCTTCACTTTGTGCCTGTCCATGAGACACACCGAGGGGCCTGCGAAGCTCTGAGCGGGGCGGAGGGAAAGAAGAGGCGGCGGCGGCGGGGGAAAAGGAGGGCGCGACGAAGGCACAACTCCGGTCGGCAAACGGAACAGGCGGGCTCGCCCCCGCCCAAGGACTCGCGGCAGCGGCCGAGCAAGGCTCGGAGCAGCACGGCGGCGGCCTAGTCCCTCGGCAGGAAGGACGGGGCGGCAGGTGGGGCTGCAGGAAGGAGGCTTGGCCGGCTTGGCTGATGCACTACAAAACCCGTCCTCCCGCTGTCTCTTCCCAGTCGCGGCCCTCCCCGCCGCCACCGGCCTCCAAAAGGAAGCGGAAAGGCTGGTCTGAGTCCGCGAGGACGAGGTTCCCGTCAAAGCCGGAGCGCAACGGGACGCTCAACCATAGAGCCACTATAGAGCGCCCCCGGCCTGCACCCGCCGACCGCTCGCCATGCTGTACGCTCAGAGCTTCTCCAGCAGCACTGGCGGTTTCCTGATGCGCTTAAAGAATGAGGCATATATAGGTCTATATTCTTAAAGCATTTAAAAGCAATCAAGACGCAAGTGGAAGCTACCGCTTGCTGCAGTGCGCAGTGCTTTCTAATAATTACCTCTCCACCCGCCACCCCCTCGCAGTGCGACAATGGCTTTTTTCCTGTTCTGCACTCACGACAGCACAAAGTCCAATAGAGCAACAGGAGAAAAATCGAACAGGAGCCGCTTACCTGTTTCTGGTTTAAATGCACACAGCTAGTTTAGTCTCCCTTTTAAACAGCTCATTACATTTTTCTATTCTTCTGCTAACAGGTTATATATACTGTTCAGAGACATTAACAGGAAGATTCCAAGGCATATAGCAGCCATGTGTGACCAAGCTATTGAACAGTCTTGTCATGAAGATAAATGTGAAGGGATTGCACTTGTTGGATTTCTGCTTCTTATGCAGCCTTATGCATTGGAGGTTTTCCCTCCAGAACCTCTTTTCTATCTCTTCAGCAAAATATAGGTTTTTTTTTTCCCTGAAAATGAAGTTTTCTATTCTGCCAGATTACTTTACTTGAATTGAGATGCAATCAAGATGCCAGATCTCATTAACTTCTTATTTATAAAGGAAAACTAAACACTTGTAAACACTTGGGGGTTTAAGCTTTCTTCCTTCCCACAGTCAGCTGTAGGCTACAGTTCAATTCTAACACCTCATGAGGAAGCAGGTCATTCAGTGCGCAAAAAAAAATGTAGCAGATGGGTTCAATGATTTCAAAGCACTGCAATGAAAACTTGCACCCCCCCCCCCCGTTTTTGTTTAATTAGAAATGTGTTACCTCACAAGATGTTTCTTGCCTCCACACATAGGTTTCTAACGGGAATGTGAAGTTAGGTCTTTCTAGAACTCTTACCTTTCTTACACAAAAAAGGTTTGAATTTTGGAGTTTGGGAGTCCAAAGAGCAAGCTGGATAGGAAAGGTCTCATTTCTCTACCTCCTTGTAGGGTTGTGTCACCCCATCCCAGAGACGTACAACTTTCACTTAACAGTTTTCTTTTTTTTAATATAAAAGAAACAAGCAGACAAAACCCCATTGGTCCTATTGTCACATACCCTCAGCACCCACCCCACTCCCCCTGCTCTCACCCAGGTGTGCAGCCTCTCCCTGCTGCTGACCACAGTCAGTTTTTCAAGGAGATAGCCTACTCCTAGTTCTCCTCAATCAAAGTTAGATCCAGATCACTAAAGTCTGGTTGGAAGAGTGTCCTTTTGCTTGCTAAATTCCAATTTAATCGCCTTGCTGCTTGTTCTGCTGCTTCTTCCTCCTCCTCTTCACTTTCACTAAGCACCTGGATACAATTGCTGATGGGACTGCATGGAGCTGAGGGTGCCTGTGGACTGCAGGCCAAGAGCCATGATGGATAACCACCTTCCTCAGATTTGTCCAACTGGCAGCCACCTCCTGCAAATGGTTTCTGCAAAAAGTATAGACAGAAAACATGTAAATGCCAGCATCTGCTATCTTTATTGTTTTGTTCTATTGAGAGTTTATAACCATATTCACAAGTGCTTGTACTATAGTACTTTCAGGTGTAGCTTGGTATCACGACTAGCTCATCTGCTCTCCTGGAAAAAACTGATTGCAGTTTCTAAAGATGGAACAATTTCTGTAAGGGTACTTTTGGCTGTGGAGAGGGGCAGTTGGGACACAGCTGTATTTTCAAAAACTGTTTGAAACAGCCCTAAACTGCCAGGTGTAGGGCTGGCAGCACTGTAAGTTATTTCAGCAATGCCCTCCCTGAATAACTAGGTACATGTAAACTGCTGTTCCAATGCCACTTCACTTTTCCTATCCTTTTTGTACAATTTTAATCCATGGCCTCTCTGATCCTTCATTCACATCAGCCTTCATACTCAGCAGTAGTTTAGCCTCAGTAACTTGAGTATTTCTGTACTCTGTACTGTTCCCACAGCATTTTAGGAAGAACTAAACAATCTTCCTAGTCTTTTTTGCTTTGCCCCATGTAGAGAAGAAAAATGGGAACAATAGCTGAACATCTTCCACTGAGCATGGAGATGTTCCACCCAACGATTTCTGTCCTAATTTGCTCCAGTGTGCATCTAAGAGACTTGAAATGACTACTGGATCTTTCAGAAAATATTTAGCAAGAAGCCTACAGTTACTAAGAGTATATATACCAGTAAGAATGTAAACTAGTAATATAAGCATTCAAGTCGATGGGGTGGACACTGCACCACCTCTATGTTTTGTGCAGCACCTGGTCCAGTGTTTCCAATAAATAAATGAGGAGCAACATGTTTTGCTGCTATCATACAGAAAAATCCTCATGGCTCCCAATTTCCCTTCAGTGTATGTCAATGCTCTTGAGCCAACTCATAAGAATATGTTACTTGCAGTAGTGAAGGTAAAGAGAACCAGGTTTTTTGCTACATAGGTTAAATCCTTTGGTATATTTCAGTCACTGACATCTTTGATTTCCCCACTGCATTTGAAGTGGCTGTTTTCCATTTCATACGACCTAGAACTCAGACAAGAAGCTAAACAGATATGGATAGTGCCTGCTTCCTTCCCTACCTGATTCATCTTGTAGAAGTCAAGGGAGGGCCTATGCCACCTCACATCCTCATCATGGCGCCGCTTGAGCCCACATTTCCTGGTGTCCAAGTCACAGGGTTGTGAGCGGCTGCGAGGAAGGCTGTGTTGGTGACGAAGCAACTCTGGTGTGGAGGTGGTAGAGCTTCGTGGGGAGGGCAGGAATCTGACAGGTGAGAGGGAGAAACGTCGTTGCAGAGGGTAGGGCTGCAAAGTCTCTCCAGTCTCCCATGGAACACTTGCTGGCGATTCTCGGGAGAGGGCCAGACTGAAGAAAGGTGGGCTCCTGCCACCACCAGCACCATCCTGAACGCACTGATGAGAGGCACTGGGGGCAGGGTTGAAGCAAAGTCTGTTGGCTCCCTGGGCCAGATTCTGGGGCTGAACTGCCAAAGTGTCCCCTCCACTGTTGTCCCGACGTTTGATATGTGTCCACACTTTGGAGCCCAGGGGCCTCCAGACAGCTTGCCAGCGGGAGAGGTCTTCGGGCACTGAGAGTGAACGGCAGTGTCTTTTGGTGGGGGGCACAGAAGCCTTTTCTGAAACTAGTGAGTTGGTGGCCAGTGTTTGGGCTGCAAGGGTGTTCTGGGGGCTGCTGTCTGGGTTGCAGGAGGGCACAGGAAGGCTCAAGCTGGAGTGTCGGTAAAGATCTGTGTTGTCCTGAAGATGGATCTTTGGACAGGGAGCCAGGTCCCTCCATGAAGCTCCCTCTGCAATATATATCACAAGACCAAAAAAATAAGCTGAGGGCTCCAGTTACCACCTCAATCTATCACCCAATCACATGCTTTGGTATGTGAAAAATCAGCACTCCTAGCTGCTTTCTTTTTATCTAATAGCATCAGTTTGGAACCATTATATCCCTTTCCCTTTTTTCCAGTACCTTCTACAACTGCAGTTGAAGTACAAAGAGCCCTTCCAGACAATGGCTTTATCTAGTTCATTAGTGCAGAAATGGTCCTAATTATTACACTTTTTTCTAACTGCCCATTAGGATTTATGGTCCAATGATTCTGCATCAAAAACTACAATGACAAGAGCTAGGAAATGTTCTCCAGGACAATATTCACCATTTGCTCCATTTAGTCCCCCTAATTATGATAACCATCCTATTTCTTCCCATGATACAGAAGACATCTCTGTATTCAAAAAGTAGCTACATTAACAGGCTAGAAAGAAGTCATCTATGGATCAGAAAAGGGATATAAACATTGTGGTGACAAACACATTTTATTTTTTAATTAGATCTCGTTTCTAGTTGGGACAAGTTGGAGATGGAGGGGAAGAAGATTAAGTCATAATCCAAAAGATTTCCTTCAACTGGAGGAACTAACAATGGGAACAACTGACACAACAACTCAGAGCACAAGTTAGAGAGACAGGCAGATGAAACTGAAGAAAAATTTAAGTATTGACACTTCCTGATTTTTCAAGTGTTTCCACACATTAAGTAGCACCAAGATTTATGGCTACTTTTATGTGTATTTTTATTCAACTACAAAGATTCAACTACTAAGAGATAATGAAATCTCTGGAAAATGTACAGGCAAATTTCATTAGGTAAGCAGAGATCTACTTGCATGATGTAACTTTCTCCTCTTCTGTTCTCTTCCTACAAGCCCTCAAGATCTGTTCCAGAGGGTCCCCTGCCCTACTGGAAGATTTGGATGATGTATGAAGGGCTGCACGAGGAATGCCTCCCCTCTCTGTTCTACTGATAGAAACAGTTTTGTCAGCAGAGGGTCTACCCTATGTCTCATCTCTATAAACAGAAAACAGTAAGGCCTTCAGCTATTTCCCTTTCAAATATGATGTGAGCCGCCCCGAGGCTTCGGCGAATGGGGCGGCATAAAAATGTTTTAATAAATAAAAAATAAATAAATAATAAAATATCTGAAGAGTAATATAAGAAGCAATTCTTGTGCATTGGCATCACTATTCTTCCAAAGGGACATTTAATGGCAATGTTCTTCTAAGACACCTTTGCCTATCACTCAGCACAGCTGCAGAGGCAGTCAAACCTACTGGTGACTATCAACAAATGAATGAACCAAAGAAATATATGCCAAAATATTTGCAGCCCTGACCTAAATCCAAAGAAGCAGTTCTGAACATGATTCAAAAGTTTTCTGTGCTTAACCCTAATTTGGATAATTTCATCCAAAAATATACCAAAAGACTAGATGATCAATGTCACACCTGCATAGAGAAATAAGAGGGCCAATGCAA